AAAGAGAGAGAGAGAGAAAAAAAAAAACACCCCCTTTTTAAAGAAATCTCCAGGTGAAAAGTCAAATACACCCACTTTTTTTTTTACAATTCTCGCGCCGGACCTGTCGCGCGAAAAGTACCCCTTTACCAGGGATTTTGGGAACACGAATGCGATCCCTCCGACCCCGGAGTGGGGGCCGGGTCTTAACCATGTTGATTTGTTACTCTTTATACTTTGTATTAATTTCAATCGCGTCAAACGCCAACATGTTCAGAAAGACGATCTTGAAGTACTCATATTTTTTCGAATTTTCCGAAAAGAAAGAATATTTCTTTTGTAATATTTGCATAGTAATTAATGTGAGAATAAACGTGAGTAATGATCTAATTTGTGGTTTCAATTTCAATTCGTACATGGAACTTTTGTTGTGCTTCTTCATGTTCCACTGCGGAAATAGCCTGGTAATTATTCTAAACCTGAACTGTTACAACTCCCTCTTGTGTTCTTTCCATAAAGAGAGTTTTTGTTTGTATGTACAAAACTAAGAGGCGGGTCTGTTTCCTGCTCATTGTTTTGTAATAACTATTAGGAGTCTGATCTAATCTCAGTTTAACTGGTCTATTATAACTCAAACGCATGCACGATACTTTTGTTGAAAATGGAGTACAGCCATTGGTCAGTGTCTAATTGATCAGTTATTGTGACGACATCAAACGCGCGCGTCTTCCGGAACACTTTCCTTTAATGCATGCGCTCTGCTATTGTTGGAAAGTTGCACGGTCATTCGCCTGTGTCTGATAGGACATAGGGCATTCAACTATATTATGACGACATCAATCCGAACAAATTATTTTCAAACGTGATTGTCCAAAACACAATTATCTGTTTGCACCACATGCCGTGATGTTTCAATCGTATTACAATCTTCACATACATAATCGATTTTAAATTTTCCATTTATATAGGTTTTATATTTTGACGGTAAAAAAACATATTCAAAAGTTAAAAATTGACTCGTTTTATTAAGAAGGGTTATGCATTTCGAAAATGGCACGGGTATTAATGGATTGGTGAAATTCCGTATTAAAACTTGGATCATCAATAGTTTGAGATTGTTTATCATAAGAATCTTTCAAGATTTGTATTCTTTTGTGGATGATTATAGTACTACCGGATTGCCAGCTAGAACATGTAGGGCTCGAGGAGAGTACATGAATACAATCTTGAAACTTTAACAATGAAAATGAAATCATATAATTAAAAATAGTGGGGGAAAAGTAAATATGATGTGGAAAAAATTGCGTTGAGAATTACATAGAACTACAGAATTTGTTTATTAATTCGAACGTATAACGTGTAGTGTGATTAAAAATGAAAATGAAATTGGTATTAATTGATATCGTTCGGACTTGAACGCCTATTCATCAAATTATGTAGAACTTAGCAGTAATTATGAATATGTCACGTATGTCACGTACGACCATTAGGTTCAAGGGTCTAAAAATCTGACTCTATTCAATTTAACGAGCGCGCTCATTAAATTCGATTCGACAACTAACAGGCGTTATTTTCCAACAAAAAGACATTTTCAGGCCCTTCTGTTTTGAGGGAAGTTCTAAATTAGTATTATCTTTCAAATGCCATTGGAATTGAACCTTTTCATTTTTTTGGCCTACAAATGGGACAAACTACGTTTGAAATGTACGCTCCTATGACATTTTTGAGGAGGCGCGATAGCTTAGTTGGTAGAGCAGTGGTCTCGTAATCCGGTGACCCGGGTTCGAAACCAAGTCGATGCGCTAGTGCCCTTTGGTAAGGCATAAAGTACCATTACCAGGTCCCTCGGAGAGGACCTAAATACGTCGGCTGTCTGGTTGTTTACCAACAAGCATTTATGCTTTCTTAGGTAAAATAACCACCACCACCTTTAGACACAATCACAATCAAATGAAAATATGCCCGCTGCCGAACCAAAGTGTATATTTCCAGTAATCAACATACCAGGGTCAAATGTAAATAGGTAAACATTATAGAGGTAGCACTAACGAGAAGAAGTGTTAAATCAATAAGTGATTGATACACGGTATTAGGAGATACAAAGTAATGTCAGGGAGTGGTAATTAGTACACCTTTTGACGACCATGTAAATATGTTGCAAAAATGTATTACCTCTAATTTGTAGTTGATTGTTGTCTGAAATTAGTATTTAAATTAAACATTGTTTTAGAAAATAATATATTTGGATGTCATCCACAACTGGCAACAAATTTCTGTTTCCCCATCCATATCTCAATCACCATCATATTCATAAGGCCTAAAATAAAAACTTGTTGTATTGCCCTTTGCGACCGGCCCAAAAATCTGAAAATCTATGGTCGACATTTTAAAAAAGTTTTTTTTTTTAAACCGTTTTTTAGATTTTTTTTATTAATTAATAAAAAGACATGTATTTTGTTTGTTTAAATGATGGGATATAAACGCATAAAATCAAATTATTCCCAAATTCCTAGTTTCAAAATTTCTAAGTAGAACCCGGCCTCGTGTACGTGTTTACACCATGGATTATTATGAGGTGAAAAAGATATGAATGGAATGATGACGCTTAAACACATGTATTAAAGCATTACAAACTGAGAAATATCAGCCACTAAAGAGGGCGGGAAAAAAAAAATCAAAACGGAACAATATCGGGCCAAAGAGGGCGACAAAAAAAAGTTTAAAAAAAAAAAAAAAACTTTTCCGACCGACCGACCCATGTTTTGGCACCCAAAGGGCAATACAACAAGTTTTTATTTTAGGCCTAATCATGATGATCATCATCGCTTTCGCCATTCATTTAGCCGATTTGCTACGTTGCTTATTCATTCTATGGTATTGATGCTGGTAATTATAATGAGAGAGAGAGAGAGAGAGAGAGAGAGAGAGAGAGAGAGAAAGACACACAGAGTGTGAGAAAGACAGATGTAGAGAGAGAGACAGAGACAGAGAGACAGACAGAGAGAGAGAGAGAGAGAGAGAGAGACAGACAGACAGTCGAGAAAGTGTGAGAAAGACAGATGTATAGAGAGAGGGAGAATGCACCGGGTTGTAGTTCGGAGTAAGGATCCTCCCCTATGCATTCCCATTGTCAAATTTAATCATTACAAGTATTCAAAATCTGTAATAAAATCTCCTAAAAACTGACAACCCCTTTTTTTGAGGGGAGGGGGGTTGATTTTGTTTGGAGACTATGGATTGTCTTTTTGTGTTGACTTTGCAGAGATAGAGAGGGAGAGATGAACAGAGAGAATAGAGACAGCAACAGAGAGAAGAGCAAAGGGGATGGGATAGTCTGATACGGTCATCTGAAGGGGGTGGGGCTTATATCATTTGTATGATACTCTAATTATCTTTGTTAATTTACATTCTCTCAGATATTTTAACAGCAGAACAGAACGGGTAAGGCAATTGCATTTTTAATACAACTTTATTTTATAGCAGGCATTTATAAAATTAAATTCTTTATAAACATGCATGTATCACAGAAAAATATGAGACCATCGATATCACAATATGATTCCCTTTACACATATATTTAAGTTACTCATGATGAATATGGATCAAGAGTTTTTAGAAATATTATGAGCAGTGATTCCAATATAAGAGTAGACCAAACCTTGAAATATCGATGTACGAAGAAACTAAGTTTGATAAAGTGAAATAGGAATATTGCTCCTTTTCTTATACTTTGAGAATTCTTAAGATATCTTGGCATTTGAAACTGTTCACATATATATTACAATTACAAAACCTTATGTACATCAGTTCATGTCGTGGGTTCCTTAAAAGAGTTTTAATGGAAATACATCAACCCATTAATGTATCATCAGATTGAAATAAAGAGAAAGTTTCAAGGTTTCAGAGGAGCAATTACAGATGAATACTTACGAAAACAAAAATAGTTCAATTAAATTTAAAAACGTAGTACATTCTATGTCCAGACTTGTGTATTGTACAGCCATTATCTGCAAAAATATTTTGACTGTACATTGCAGTTAAGTAACTTAATTTCTATTTACCCTGGTAGTCAAAAGCCATGGTTTTCTTCCAAAAATTTTCAAAGGGAACCCAATATCTCATTATTACATTTAAAATGTATTTGTTTAAAAGATTTAGTTTAAAATGAAGAGAAACTTAAAGGGCCACTCTAACCCAACTAACATAGCTTTTCAAAACATGAATTCAACTCTACTTATTAATATTCCAGCCTCTGATTTTTCAGAAAATCTCAACATTAACCAAAAAATTATAATAGCCATCCATTTTTCACAGTTCTCACGCTTGCTAAGCTACGCCCCTCGAAAAAAGGTAATACGGTCACGTGGCTCGATGACGCATTTGACTAATTTGATAATTTCATAATTAGGAATGACGAAATTGCCAGAAACGTACTGGGATTATCATGTGCATATTATTTTTTGGATAAATGTCTTTTTTTTCTTCAAATATCATAGTTTGCCTTTTTAAAAGACATTTTAATGCCTACATCGCCCTCCTTTTCACTGGAGAGGCGTCTGCAGTGACGTCAAATGCGTCATCACGAAACTGGGCTTTTTTTTCCTGCGTGTTCTGAGTCGTCATTTTTAAAGCTAGATTCCAGAATTATTGATGATTTCCAAGAAAACTCATTGTCATGTTCGGAATCTCCGCCAAAAATTATTCTACATGTCTTTTTTTCATTTTTATCCCGTTTTGGTTAGAGTGGCCCTTTAAGAAGATGACCACCAATTTTACAGGAGGTGAAATGCCAATGTTAATATTAAGGACTTGTCCCCTCTACATCACATATCAAGAATAGTACATACATTTGGATACATTATCTGCCATTTGCAGGAATCTGCTTTGAAAGCGATATAAAAGGCAAAACAAATATTAAAAATAACATATTTAGCATCCTCCCTTTTTGAAAAAAGGGAAGGATGCCTTCTTTTTCTTCTTTCAAAATGGCCACTCGCCATAATAAAAAAATAATTAAAAAAAAAGGAAGCAGGCAGGGACGCTAAAAACAAAGTATTTAAATTTCGCCTAATGGCATTTAAAAACTTGAAATGATAACACTAACACGTCCTCAAGTACATGTTTATCACATGGAGTAGAAGGAGATGTGAGTACGAGGTAAAAAGAGTTTTTCCTCTTACCAGTAAATGCTGTCAACTATGTGTAATCTTTTCAAAGGAAATCATGTCCAAAGCTCAAAACTTCTATAAATGAACTGTGAACCTATACTCTGATACAACTATTATTTTAGTACTTCCAGGCTAACAAAACACTGTGGTTTTCCAAAAAGAAAGGAAAAAAGTTTGTATCTACCAAAGTTGCAACACGGAATGAGTGATTGCATAGAAAGCACAAGCATCAAGCACAAGCCTTTCATTTATGTTGGATTTAAGGTCTACATTTTCAATGAATCAACAGTTACGATTGATTTCAATACAATCATCAACATTCTATCATTGTTGACCTTGAGAGGTTGAAGCCTTGCTAGTCAAAGCCTTGACTACAACACTGCATTCTATCAAAGAAAATTCTGCAATTCTAGTATTCTACAACAGTGATGTACTTCAATTGATATGATCGTGCTAATCTTCAGAAACGGAAGTCATTAAGAATTTATTGGATCAATTAAATATCTATCATCAAAAGGTATCGATCCTAACTCGAAAGCAACAAGAATAAAACACTGAAAATGGTTGGTTGGTTTGAAGCCAGAGGGGCGTCAACTCTGTATATGACTGAATGCCCTATTGACATCAAACAGATGAAATAAACACAAAAACTAGAACTTAATTTGATAAAGAATGAAACTTGTATAAATGAATCAATTTTAACACCAAAAGCTACAGTTAACTCTGCATAAATCAAACTGTAAAAGTCTAATTTCCCCAAGTCAAATCACTTACTATACAAAACGTGTTAATTTACATTCCTTAAATGAAATTTTGCACAAGTCTGATTGAGTCCATTATTTTGTTGGCTACCCAATAGAATTGACCTATTACACATAGTCACCTGTACCTCATCATCAAATTTAGCTGAAACATGTTTATATAAAAATAGACAAATCTATTCATAACTCTTGGAGATCAAACGGTTAACAGTTCTGTTCCGTCTACATATCATTTCAAATAATTGGGAATTTATATAATAATACTAGTAGTCAATCTAATAGTACTCAATTCAATTTTTAGAAATCTTAAGTGTCTAACATCTATTTCCATTTTAACTCTGCCCCTGTACACCCATAAGGTAGAATGCTATTTCAACAATGAAATAATCTATTCTATACTAAATTATGAGAACTACATGTGATAAATGACATTGGATAAATGACAACTAGCCAAGACGAAGACAAGGAAAGCATCCACATCCAGAAAAAACATTTCTAAGAGAAGTTAGAGGCTAAGTTCTGTCACTGCTTCGCAATGGGTGCAGACATGTTTTCAATCATTACCACTGGCATAAGATTTAATCATCGGTACAGACACGTTTTCAATCATTACCACTGGCATAAGATTTAATCATCGATACAGACACGTTTTCAATCATTACCACTGGCAGAAGATTGAATTTAGACATGTTTTCAATCATTACCACTGGCAGAAGATTGAATTTAGACATGTTTTCAATCATTACCACTGGCAGAAGATTGAAATTAGACATGTTTTCAATCATTACCACTGGCAGAAGATTGAATTTAGACATGTTTTCAATCATTACCACTGGCAGAAGATTGAATTTAGACATGTTTTCAATCATTACCACTGGCATAAGATTGTATTCAGACATGTTTTCAATCATTACCACTGGCAGAAGATTGAATTCAGACATGTTTTCAATCATTACCACAGGCATAAGATTGAATTCATATACCACGGATCAAGGCTCTAGCTCGTTTTAAAATTCAATATTCCTGAATAAATTGTTTTCAGATCAATATTTATGCCTATAGCCATTTTATGTTATGACTGCAAAATCTGTTGAGATCAAGTACACCCCAATGCTTTCTGCACTTCAGCCAAATTAGGTTGGAATTATGTTACCGATTACAAGTACATGTATCTCTTTATGTTACAGAGGTGTTGTGGTGTAGTGAATCAATCACTTAACTATCTATCCAAGGGTTGAGGGTTCAAATCCCAGCCCGGCACTAACATCTTTTGGTAAGGCATTAATCCACATTTGAAGCTCTCCACCCAGGTGTACGATCATTAATTATTTATACATATCACATAGATAGATAGAGCACGGCACATAATTTTGAACATATTGAAGGGGGAAAAGGAGTAACTTACCACTTTTGTCTATGAGATCCAGGAGGATAATGTACTAAGTCTATGGAACTGATAGTATTCAGAAGCCATTAGGTTAACATTAGATATTGAAAGCATACAAACAAACATATACATATACATCTATTAGATCATGTACAGATATGTGACAAGTATTAGCTATGAGCAGGCTAAGGTGTTTTAGCTTTCTTCAATTTGTTGGCTAGGTTGTTCCTTCTCTTTATCCTGTTTCTCTGCCCTGTTTTCAGACTTATCTTCAGAGACTTGGTCCAATGGATTCCTGTCAAATAAGGAAGATAAATAGATATCAAATTCAAAGTTTGGTTCTGAAATTACACAAAATAAATCATCAGTGAATCAAATGAAACTTGAATGCTGAATGTTCATGAGGGCAACTCAATGATTTTCACTTCATTATTTTTGGGAGTACCATAGATGAATAACAGGGGATTAATGAGCACAAAAGGGTACCGAAAAAGAACTAGTGCTATGCCTGAATTACATGTTTATATATCAGTTGTGCTGTTTAGTGGTTGTGATTTTTTTTTAATTTTATTTTTTAGATTAATTTCTTTATATTTTGCTGGTCCAAATAACCTAATTCTTGCACACAAAAAAATTCTGAATACATCATAGCCCTTTCTTTCAAAATGACATTAAACAAAAAAAAGTAGACAATGGTGATAAATATTGACTAGAAAGTCACAAATGAGCCACAAAATGGATTTCTTCAAGTTCGTCATTTTCTGGTAGCACTGTTTTGAAATGACACGTACTTGTATGACATGTGCTCTAGCGACAGTTGAATTGTGATCCAGCGGTCATTTTCCTAACTCAGGACTGAAGCTATACTTGACCCTCACTTCGACCATAAACCTAACTTAAATGCAAACTGTATCTGCAACCCTAACCCTCCATCTATGACGAGATAAAGCCCTAGATAAAACAAGTAAAACACAACCTCATACAATTTGGCTCGGAATACCTATATTTATTATTTTTACAGAACAAAAAACTGTAAGCCAATTCAGAGATAGCACTTGTACAAATAACCCCCAAATATCCACAGATCTTTTACACGTGGAGACAACCCACTTTGTAGATTTCAGAACAGCCAACTGCTGCCAAAGTGATGGAAGTGCCTCATGAATTCCTTTTGTTTGCCCTCTTGAAAAGAATACTTCCGCCCATCTGTTTATCATAGAATGTACTGCCGGTTCATGAATTAATAATGATTGTAAACATTGATGAACACGTATCCAGCAGTCCTCTAGGGTTTTACAGTTTTGTACAAATCCTTAATCTACCCATGCGCATATGGAGGGTTCAGTGACACAAAGACGTAATTCAATATTTTGCCAAAAAGGGTATTTGATATCAAAATGTTCAAACAAATGTGGGCTTTCCAGGAAACACAAAGACTTAACTCTACCCAACACCCCATTAAAGTCAATGGCTAGTGAAACAAAGATTTAACTCCTTAAGGCCCAAGTGCTCAGTGACACATAATCCACTTTTTCTCAAAATGGCCAAAATGGAGTATACGTCTTTGTGTCACTAACCCCTCCATATATAGTACCTCCAAAGTGCCTTTGTTATCTTACCATTCTATGAGGTCTTCAACTTGTGGTTTGGCCATAGCTGCTTCGGTCATCTCCACACGTCCATTGTTCTCTTCCTCCTGTCCCGTCTCTCTGTCCCCTCCGCTACGATGACTACCGGTACTCTTCTCACTACCACGACGCCTCCGAGTACTTGACAGCTCCTGGGATAAGCTCTTCCTGAAAATGGAGAGATACAAGACAATAAGCCAGTTAATAGATACAACTGGCTCATACCATCTATATCCCATATAATTTTGCTTTCCATCGATTTGAGACTGACTTTTCAACTTGTATTAAAAAAAGTTTAAAAAAAATTTAATCATTGATAAATATTTAGAATAACCAATTAACAAATTAATTGCAACAATGCAGAACCCACAGGCAGATCAGTACTAGACAGATGGGTAATGATTGCGTGTTAAGTGTTAAAAGGCAATCCAACCCTTGTAATAAGTTGATTTGTATGAAAGTAGAAAATAACAAACAGAATGGCAAAAGTTTTAAATGAATCAGATCAATATTGAGGAAGTTATGAAAGTTTGTAAAATGAGAGATACTAAGCCTATGTGAAATCTCAAATTGGTAGTTTGATCAGTGGATTGTGACGTAGGATGAGGACAACTCTCCCATTTGCCGTGTACAAAATCATTCATTTATGTTTTTTCTTGTAAGTTCCTTCTCCCTTGGGGCTTTACTCAAAATATATCATAGGTCCTCTAAAAAGAATAGACCCTCCTGAGCGATGAATTTTTTAGTCACTTTATATGTTGGAACAGTTGGGAAAGTCGTCCGGCACTGCATCACATTTCCATTACCGCTTCAGCCAATTTGAAATGCCCATACGTATAGTGATTATTACTTTCTTATATTTAGTTGGATTTCATTGAAACTTTCATCAGTTTGCTTCTCTGATTTTTCTGCTTACTTTTAGAGTAGTTCTCTCTTTGGGTTGGATTTCCCTTTAACACAATGATCCAAAATAACCATCTTCATTTTGTTACTCGTATAGTCCCTTTACATCTAGAGTGACATTACTCACTTGTCTTCAGGAGAAGTTAATGGAGACTTGGATCTAGGTCTAGATCTAGCTGGAGACTTGGATGTGGACTTGGACTGTCTTTTCTCTGGTGTTCTGGATCTATGCGACTTGGACCTGGACCTGGACTTCCTAGGAGTCCGAGTCCTAGACCTAGACTTCCTAGGGGTCCGAGTTCTAGACCTAGACTTCCTAGGAGTCCTAGTCCTAGACCTCCTAGGGGACCTGGACTTGTCTCTAGACCTGTGTGGGGAGCGTGATCTCGTCCTGGACATATGACTATCCCTTCTCCTTCGGCTGGAACGCGACCTCGATCGGGTTCTCTTCCGTAACGGTGACCTCGATCTAGTTCTCTTTCGTAACGGTGACCTTGATCTGGATCTCTTTCGTAACGGTGACCTTGAACGCGATCTTCTCTTGTCCCTAGATCTAAAGTGATAAAGAATTCAAAGAAATAGAGACCATATTGATAAAAAGTAGACACTGATTCTAAAAGGTTTCAAAGAAGTGCAGGTGCAGAGCTTTTCCTATGGATAAAAGAGAGAAGGGTACATTATCAATGTTTAACAACCTGATAGTCTTTGTGTGTATTTTCTAAAATCATAATACCAAGATTTTCAAACTAAAATTGTGCAAAATTTGTAATTGCAATGAGTGTCGTATTGTTTGACTTAAAGGAAACCGAACCCCAAGTAATAACTTTACTCATACTGAGAGATTTATTATATTATTGCCCATAAATCTACAAGATTCCCCACCAAAGTTTATGAGAGAGGAATAAAGCAAAAATAAAGTACAGTTTCTCAGCAAGACATTTTCTTCATAATGTGACGTACTATGCGAAGTCGTTTATCAAGTAATGTATTCAAATTTATGGATGCTTCTTTCCCAGACGTGTGCGGTAATGAAGCATTTCATTCACCTGCTATTATCCTTTGTACTATAATTGCCAGAACGCAAATTGCATAAATAAGTTAGTGCTCTTCTGGGGTGAAGGTTTCTCATAAATGAAATAGATTTGTTAACTTCTATAGTGTAGTATTTATAAATGAATTTTGTTACAATTGTGCCCCTACTATTTATTTTTCACCTAATATAATTTCTATCATCTCATTTATTATTTTTTTAAATTGAAAAGTAAAGGTTTCGTTATTGATTTAAAAATTCTTTCCAACTAATGCTTGGTGCATGATACATGTACAACTTCAACAGGTACGTCACATTTTCAAGAAAATGGCTGCGCCCATATCATGCAGAAAGGCATCACATCATGCCAGGAATATCTTCATTTATATATATCTTGTATATTTTCGTAAGGAATATTGGACATCAAAGGGCAGGAATACATCTCATTTTTCAGAATACATACCCTTATTTTTGGGGTTTAGGTTTCCTTTAAACAGATGAAAAAGCTCTTTGTAGACAGAACTTTCATTGCCAGACCCCCTCCCCTTCAAATTGATATGAATACATTAGGACTTTTGTTAACATAAAACAATATTGTGTTGTTGATGCTCACTTTCATTTTTCGGCGCATCACTTACGTTTGCTGGAAAGACACTTACAGATACCGCCCGTCTTGTTTTTAAAGTCTTAAATCTCTTGAAAAAAACATCACAAGCATGATTTCAACATCTGAATGTTGACATTTGAGGTGAAGAAATATACAAGTAAAAACTAAGGTCATACGACATATATACACTCAGGTCAATAAATACCATGCACTGTATTTACCTACTCTGATCCTGCGGCTAGACAATATTAAATCAGCAGCCAGCACGAGTGGCTAGGTACAAATGTCAGAGGTTAAAGGTGACTTGAAGGTCGGTGCACTTTGGGTCATAATATAGCAGGGAAGCCCTAGCAGTGATTGGTCAAGTTTGATTGGTGGGAGATGTCGGGTCGCAGCAATGAGGCAAACTTGTGTAGGATCGAGGTAGGCTTGGTAAGACGATAGAGGTTGGGTTTGCGTGTAATTGGTTGGGATTGAGAGTGAGTGCGCCCTCTGTAGGCAGGCAGCTTGATTGTGTTGGAGGATGATGTCGCCGCTGCCAAGCCTTGCACCAGTTATTTCTCACCTGTCTACATGTTCATGTAGTGCATGCTCTTTGAAGCTGCAAGTCACTGATTGTGCAAATTTTTGAGTAAAATTGAGCACATTTTTTTCAAGTTAAAAATTAAGATTTACTCATATGGTTTGATGCCCAAGGACTTAATTTTCAATGAATATCTTGGTAAGCTATTTGCACTCCCAAAATAAATTGCAAAAATAAGTTTACTGCAAAAATGTTTTTTCAAATCCTGTACACATAACAGTTAACACACATATAAAGAGAAAAATAGCGGATAATCACAGCTTTAAAAAGAATTTAATTTTTTTTTTTTTAATTCTGTAACCGCGAATTAAGCTGGATGATATTTAATGAATTTGACATTTACTGTGTAATGGTTGTTCTATTCCAACACCCTGGGCAAGATACATCATAACAAGTAAGGGCTGTAAGGATAAATTATAATATGAATGCAGAATTCAAAACTGAATAAAATTTGAAATTAAAAAGCCTAAAATATAACACTGGGATGTTAGCTTTAATCATGTTTTGTTTACTGCATCTTAAATGTCAGGCTCAAAATATGTTTTACCATATGATGATATGCATCCATAGATTTAGTAAACATACCACTAGATGGGACCAATGCTGTAAAGTAAACGTCTGTGATGTTTCACCTAATGGCTCCTTTATTCATTAAAAAAAATCAGCGTCAAATTGTACCAAAATGCAAATTAATAGCAAATTTGAAGGAAAAGGACTAAAATTCTAAGTCCAAATGTCTTTAATATTATTCAAGCATGCCTAATTAGGAAAGTTTCATATGTTCAATATGTAATTGGGACTGGAGCTGCTAATACTAAACCCAAATACAGTCATCTCAACTGATTCCAAATGAGTAATGATGACAAATTTAAAGAAAAAGATCACTAGCACAGCATTGTGACAAAGGGCTGATAAATCTGTAATTCCTCAATTGCTTTATGTTTATCTGTCCCCTACAGTGATATGCCTTAATTGCAGCTGAGTTCTTAAGGCATTTTCATGATATATCCGATCTTTTTTGGGGGTGTTTCCCAGAGTATCATAAAAAGAAAGGCTTGCAGAGTAGACTGCTTCATGCCCCCAATTCTCTTTGTGAAAGAGTTAAAGTGGGGGGGGGGGGCACAAAGCTTATTTAAAAAGCATGACAGGGGTACATACCTGCTTCTGCGTCTGCCCATACTTCTGCTGGAGTCATAGCTTTTACGTGGCGGAGGCACGCCAGGGTAGGGGCGAGCGTGTTCAACACGAACCCTGCGGCCACACATCAGTCTGAAACAGCAAAACAAAATTATCAAGCCATCATGTATCTGTCCTGCATATTAAACGTACCATCAATAAGATGATCAATACTGCTTTTTAAGTGTGATCATGAGCACTAAAAAAAAAAGCTTGAGTAAAAATTAAACATCCCCCCCCCCCCTTTGAGTAAGAAAAATTGGGAAATAATAGGGAAAAATAGGGAAGAATGGAGAAAATTGGGATAAAATCAGGTTTACAAAATTTAAATAAAAAAAAAAAAATTGGGAAGAAAAATTTAAAAAATTGGGGGAAAAGAAAAAATCAGGAACAAATCGGGAAACTGATTTATATCAGGTTTTCATCAGGCCTGTTTTTATATGGGTAAATTTTTTACTCAAGAAAATTCTAGTCTGGCAATTACATTGTCTCAAAACAGTTGAGAAAGGTTGATGACGTAGTACTTTTATTTGATGTACATAAATGTGTGAATAAGTGATGCTTTGAAGTTTGGAACAATCCAAACACATTCTTCTCTCTAAGATTCTAAACTGAAATAAAAAGAATTAGATAGCTCACAAACAATTTCACATCTATACCAGAACTCAATCTTTATGATCCACTTTCCTTCTCTGAAATATAATAACTTTTTTTTTTTTGACAATCCATTTTACAATCCATTTTAGAAGTAACATATTGCTTTGTTTAACAATCCCACAGCAACAGAAAAAATGAAGTGTTTGCAAATTATTTGGGCACTGCTTTTTGTTGGTAAACTTGTACTATGAACGGTTCTGTGAAACGATGCCTAGATCAATAAAAATAGTAAAAGCTATATCATTCTAAGCTGACTTCAGAAAAAAAAGGTAAGTTAAGAATATTGGGACATACCTTCCATCCAGTGATCGGACTGCTTTGTCTGCATCTTCACGATACATGTAAACCACAAAGGCAAAACCGGGAGGATTCCTGTATTAAGAAACAATACCAATGACAAATTTTGATTAATAAATGGCAATTAAATGGATAATCAAATTTGGCACATGGAACGATAATGAAAATTTATGAAAACGTCTTTCACTGAATTGTAGCACTAACATAATTCTGGGATTTAATTTTTTTTGGTTTTTTTTTTTGTAGTAATGAGAATCTCATTCTAGATCTACATGTACTTGTCTTAATAAATGTGCCATATGCCAAAGCACTCATCAGCAAAAAAAAAACCCAAAAAAATGAAGAATACACATTCAATCAAATTCATGAAGGTTCTACTGTTCTAGTAGTAGTAAGCCTATTGAGGAAATATTAGACAATTCTGAGACTCTGAAAGAACCCCTGGAGATGGTGGAACCTGGGATAATAAGTGTCTTCAAAGTTCATCCAAGATTTTTTGAAATGCTATGCATGCAATATGATACAATTCAACCTGGGCAAAGACATGGGGAAATCAAGTTTTTGGGGATAAATAGTGAAATTAATGGGAAACAAATATATAAAGCAATTGTTGAATAGTGAGGCAATGACATCACAAACTGATAACCAAATTGGCAATTTGTTTAGTGATTTCCATTTTTCAATACTTTTCCAAGCTTAATCGTTAATGTGTTGCACCGTCTGCTTGAAAAGTTCCAAAGAGGTGCAATTGACGACAGCAGATGGTATTACTATTAGTGCCACTTCCACAGTCGGATAGTACCGATATGTTAAAAAAACATCAACAACAATTAAAAACTAGACATGTTTACATAGTCTAGGGCGCGGTAGACCGAAGTAAATGGAACCGACAAATAATAGCCTAGATTAGCTAGGCCTAATTTACAAATTAAATAAATCGGATATGCATCAGGTAAAATGCAATATTTTGGGCAAAGAATATGGACATAAATGGCCATAATTTTGCAAAATGTTTGAATATGAACGCCTATAAAGGTTAGCTTCTGTCTCTAAAGAGAGGAGCCGTAGCTCGTGCACAGTTTTTCCTTCATAATCATTTTGCCTTCGGCGTAGACTAGAAGGAATGAGATTTAGATGACGTCATGCGCAGCGAGAGTTAAAATACGGCTTGCAAGATTTTCAACATGGTTGTCGATTTTGACCCATAATTTCCTGAAAATGGACCATTAAACAGATTTATTCAGTCAAGTTGGTAAGTGGAACCGATGTATTATAGCCTAGGCCTAATTTACAATATAAAACATATTGGATATGCATCCGGTAAAATATAAAAATTAGGCATTAGTTTGGCCAAGTTTGGTGTAAAGAAACGTTACACCAAACATGAACACTAAAGCGTATGGGCCTGTTCTGTCTATAAAGAGAGGAGCCGACATAGACCGAATTTTTCTGTCTCACGAAAGAGACAGAAAAATTCGGTCTAGAGCCGACCCTACCCAAATCGGAGGCTAACGAACGAAAGACATGAAAGAGACAGAAAAATTCGGTCTAAGCGCGCGGTAGACCGAATTTTCCGTCTCTTTCGTTCGTTAGCCTCTTATTGGGGTAGGGTCGGCTCTCTCTTTAGAGACGGAAACCGTCTAGATCTATACACATTCCCTTGATAACGCCACGGCCATTTCAGGTCGTAGCGTTTTGCCCCCAAAATCCCCCAAAATGTCATTTTACCTCGTGCATGTTATATTGTAAATTAGGCCTAGACCTCTAGATCTAGGCTATAATAAATCAGTTCCACTTACCAACTTGACTGAAATAATCAGTTTAATACTAGTCCCTTTTTAGGAATTTATGGGTCAAAATCGAAATCCATGTTGAAAAAGATTTTCAAAATGGATTTCAATTTTGACCCATAATTTCCTAAAAAGGGACTATTAAACTGATTATTTCAGTCAAGTTGGTAAGTGGAACTGATTTATTATAGCCTAGAGTCTAGGCCTAATTTACATGTGGATATGCACGAGGTAAAATGACATTTTGGGGGATTTTGGGGCAAAACGCTACGACCTGAAATGGCCGTGGCGTTATCAAGGGAATGTGTATAGACGGTTTCCGTCTCTAAAGAGAGAGCCGGCCGACCCTACCCCAATAAGACTAAGAGGCTAACGAACGAAAGAGACGGAAAATTCGGTCTAAGCGCGCGGTAGCTAGCTCTAGACCTAGCTAGTCTGGTATCTAATTCTAATGTCATCATGCTCATGAGATTGTGGTAATGCTTGTATAGTCTCTGTCTCTCATCTAATCGCATATGTACCTCATAATCATATGCTTTCAGTTTCATGCCCAGGCATAATGGTGGTAATGCTTCCACATCCTACACGCACACCACACGTCGTCTACACATCTATTTGATCGAGTTGATTCATTCACACATGCACAAATTAACCAAACATGTCGCTCACGCAGTCACAGAATCATGACATTCCATTATTCGGGCTTTTCTTGAGAACATACCTTGCTACCCAGACATCAGTTATAGGGCCATAGCGATCAAATTCTCTCTCCAAATCATTTTTGCCAACTCTTGTTCCAATATCTCCAACAAACAGTCGATAACCACCAAAAGCTCTATCTGGTGGAGGAGCCATATTTGCTTCTCGAGCGAGAGCTAGAGATGCGCGCACTGAACAACTCGGCCGCTGAAAAGCTACCGATAGTCGACTCGCTCTACATGATGAGATACACTAGTAGTTTGTCACTTTGATGCGTCTCTAGCTCTTCATTCATCCAACCCCCCCCCCCCCCCCCCACTCAGTGTTATTTAGGGTACGCATATGCTTGTTCCCTCTTTTTGAAAGCACCCCCTATCTGAGGACTGCCAACATTTCCGAACCCCCCTTTCGCGGGCTTTTCCTGCCTTGGAGACCCCCTAAATCTGGAAAAATGCTCAATGTACCCCCTAAATTCGGAATATTTTCTCAGGAGTCCAAAGAGATGAGAGAATTGAAAAAATTCACCCCCTTTTTAAAGAAATCTCCGGTTGAAAAGTCAAATACACCCCTTTTTTCACAATTCTCGGGCCGGACTTTGTCTCACAAAAAGTACGTACCCTTTACCGGACATTTTGGTAACACGCATGCGGTCATTCCGACCCCGTGGGGGGGGGGGGGGCCAGGCATCCAACCCTTCCGCCAGGCGCGGATCCAAGATTTTTTTTCAACTTTTTTTTTTGCTCCCGAAAATTTGGAAATCGTGCCGGGTGAAAAGTCGCTCAGTGGGGGGGGGGGGGGGTGGGGGGGGGGGGGGGGGGGTAGTGAGCACATTTTTTTTGGTTTTGGTCCTCGAAAATTTAAAATTTGCACCCCCCCCCCCCACCAAAGGTAAAAATCATGTGTTTTTACATGATTTTTTTCTCAAGGGGGGGGGGGGCCAGGCCCTCCTGGATCCGCCACTGTCTTCGGCCCCATCTCTCTCTCTCTCTCTCTCTCTCTCTCTAGCTCTCTCTCTCTCTCTCTCTCTCTCTCGCTCTCTCCCTCTCTCCTCTAGCTCTCTCCCCCTTCTCTCATTTCCCTTCCCCAGCTTCCTCGATCTCTCATCTCTCCCCCTCGACATATCCCTTAATTTCCCATACTCTCCTTATTGTACCTTAATTGTGTTTGTCTCTTCCGAAAGGTCTGCTATATAGGAACTATAACCGGAAGTATAACTTGGTGTGACGAGAGTATAAATTTGTGTATTTCAGGGGTAATGCTATTTGGTTTAATTTTTGGGTTGCAGATTTGAAGACTGTGCTGGATTTGATGTCCATGTTAGGTCATTCGAGAGTTTTGCAACTTCCCTGGCTCTCTCTCTCTCTCTCTCTCTCTCTTATTTTCTGTCCACCTTTTAACATAAATACAGAGTTAATGGGCTACCAGATTACCAATAATATTTCAACAAACCAAAAACGAAAAAAACACAAAAAAATCATTCTTTTCACATTTGGCAATATGGGTGAAAATCAGATCAGCATTTCAAAACTTTTTTCCCTACAGAGGTTTGGTTTTTGATTCAAAAGTTAAAAACGAAGGAACTTGGTTTGAAATTTAACTTCAAACAATTATACAAATTTGCTGACCGATATAGTAATCGATCTACATATTTCTATATTACTATTTGTTTGTCTATTTATTCAAATTCAATACATCTATTTTTATTTTTATTTACAGCAAGAACGAGTCACCCGAAACTGTGTTAACGGTCGACTTTACGTTGATTGAGTTGCTTGTGGATGAGCTTGAAACCCATACAAGGTAAACACCGAAGTAGTTAGAGGTCGTGAAGCAGTGTTGGAGGCGATTAGCTAGCTAGCACTGCACTGCACTGTGCGCACAACTACTCGATCGACTGCATTGACAGGGTACGATTGTGGACTACGGACCGCACCCCCACGGCCTAGCGTTGACAGAGCAGTGTTGTCTGTCGGCAGCTAGCTCGGCAGGCAGGCCAGGCTAGGCGCAGGCACACGACGTATTCAGTACCCGGAAATTTTCAACCTGAGCATCAGGTAAACGTCTTTAATTATGTAAATAGAAAAGAGCTTTGAGACCGCCGATTTCCAGACTTCTCAATGTAGCACAGTATAATTTCTAAAATTGTTAGTAGATCTACCAGGTACCTTGTAAGTTGTAGACTCTAGATTTAGGGATGTTACAAAAAAATTAAATCTCAAAATTTAAGCTCTTGCTTTATTATGCTATCAAACAGAGCTTGATAGATCTAAGACCTTTTATTTGATGCCTCATTTATTCTTATAGCCCCAGACAGTAATACGAAAGTTATGCCAATTTTAAACGCCCGGAAATCATGTATTTAGACCTAGATGATAGATCTAGATCTAATTCTTTGTTTTCCTTTGTTTTTAAAACAAAAGTTGTGATCTCAAATAGGGTCTAGACTATGTGACCGAAAGATTCTATTATTACAAAAATCACCAAAAAATGTAGATCTATGTAAATACGTGAAAAACGCTAATCGGGCCGTCATTTTTTGCATGACATTTTCACATTCCTCATCCAAAAAACATAGACGATAGATTTTGCTGAAATTTCACCAAAAGCAAATTCACATGTTAATCCTAGATCTAACTTGTTAGATACCTTTTTTCAAATCCTGTTGGCGGGATAAGCTAGGTACAGAATGGCACTAAACACGGCTCCTGTGAAACAGTGCAGCAAAATAAACTGCCGAAAACATAAATCTTAGAAAGTTTAGTATGAAATGAAAGATAACAATGTCATTCTTCTCATCCGATAAAAATCATGAAACAAACATCTTATCAGCCCATCAAAAGATCACATTTGCGTAGGCTATCCAAATGGTCTCCAATAGTGCATAACAGCCCCATGGCAGAAACCTTCATGGCGACAGCGCACACATTGTAACGTACCTATAAACCTTGGCACGGTATTTTATTAACTTGTCATTAAAATACATCATTGACATAGATGTAGAGAAATCGGCGCTTGTTCAGAAACCTGTCCAAAATTTGACCCGTAACTCCGGCGTGAAGATACCCTACTAAAACATACCCAAAATTAATTAAATATTCATTAAATGTCCAAATAAAAATCATGAGTTAAAAGTTGTTATGTTTATTACCTGTCTCGTGTCAATTTTCTTGTTATTTTTGGAGTATTTTTCGGAAAAACATTGATATTAGTACATTTTTCACAGGTTTCACGGCAAACTGCTGCCCAATACAAGTACATACCGATGGTGGGTTGCGGGCGGGCGCACGCCTGTGTGAAGTTATCCACCGTTATGAGGATCGCTGAGACATTTACGTCCTGCTACCAATTTTTGATAGGACATGAAATGTGGAATATCTTAAGAAGTTTCAACATTGAGCTAACAGGGTTTTTTGGTTAATGCAAATTTAACCCCTATTTATTGGGGGGGGGGGGGAGCCTACATAATATAATGCATGGACAGATCTGTTTTTATCATGCAAAGAATATTTTGACATGGACCACATCACATGCCCAATTATATGTACAGGATACAGTATGTAACATATTACACTTTCCTTATTTTCAAACAGTTTCAGATGAGGAACTATATTTCCATTTTATATGGCCTTATCTTCAATTTGAAAGATAGTCTTCTCTTTAGGTAGGGTCACATTTCAGTATCTTAACCTAGATCTAGCACCACAGGCTCATTTCACTATAAAGCCAAATCATAATTGTATTCAAATCTACATGCTATTATTAAGCATGCACACTTGACAAGAAATGTCTCTGTTTCTTCATTCCAGATAAGAGTCACAGAACGAGAGTCAATCTTCTTCAAATTAGAAGATTTGGATCTGCAGCTTACACTCTGATGCTGTCAAAACTCAAAACTCGAGAGGATGGTTTAAACAAGACTTGAGAGATATTACCATCTACAAGAAATGGCTTCTCCAACAAACATGTTTGCTCCATTTGCTTCAAACGTTAATAAAAACTCTGTTGGAGTCAACTTTTTGACAACTAAAGTCGTTGATGCCATCCAGAATAACTGGGTCTACGAACAGATTGTCCAGGTTATTCAAGCACAACCGGATGGAATCAATGAAAAGGGTAAGTTTACCCCCAAAGGAGTAAAAAAAAAATACTAATCGGTTTGTGTAACCTCTTTCAGAATTTGGTGTTTTTTATTTTATTTTGGTGAAAAAAGTGTGATTTTCTCACATTGATAAAAAAATTGTTTTATTGGGTTTTTGTTACCAGAGCTCTTTTTCAATTTACCGATCACTTTTGGAGCTTCGAGAGCTAAAGTGCTCACCACTCCCGTTGTGTTTCTGGCTTTCCATTTAATATTCCAGGAACCATTCAAGCGGTATATACCGTTTGTTGACAATATTATAAATTAAGGCTGCGACGGGTTGTCGAATGCTCGAGTACCCGCACGGTTGACAATTACTCGGGTACGATTTCTCTTACCCGAATATTCAGCCGGAAAAAAACAAACTGTCCAGGCCAACGCTTACCCATGCCAGGGAGAGCGGCGGCCGCTGGCATGGTACCGTCTGTAAAAATGTTTCCCAACTCAAGCACTGTCAAACTCACCACTCAGAAACTGGGACCAAATGTCCGGATTTCTGTTTGGACTTGGAGGACAATGGATTATTCTGCCATCTTTGGTTTTTAAGACAGCATTGTTTACTGTTATTATTATTATTAAATCAGCGCCTTCAACTGCAACTCGAAGTAAAATTGCATGCGTTTTCGGCGATACTGGGATACTGCACCAGTGGTATGGTGGTGGCAAAAAAAAATTAAAAATTAAAAAAATAAAAAAATAAAAAAAATTCAAAACAATTATAAAAAAACATGGCGTCCGAATATTTGAGTATTTGCTTGTAAGCCTGGGAGTGTACTCGGGTACCTCATCACACTGTTGTGCACAGCCTTATTATATATGAAAGATGACTGTAATCAAAACTTTTAAACGTTAAATTATTATATGTAGTGGCACAATGTCTGGCATCGTTACTGAATCTCACAGTTTTCAGCAAATCAACCTAACTGGTGTTCAATGATTTTCTTCTTTTCATATAGGATGGCACGGTTTTACTGCCCTACATCGAGCTGCACTGAGAGGGGATCCTGCCATAATAGCACTTCTCTTAGAACATGGTGCAGACGTCAACCTGATCAATGACTATGGGGAAACACCTCTCATGTATGCTTGCAAACGAGGCAACCCTCAGAATGTGGACTTGTTTCTAGAGGCTGGTAGTAATCTAGATACAGAGGACCACCAGGGGCGTAAGCCTGTACACCATGCAGCTGCTGGAGGCAGTGTGTAAGTCCATCAACATAACATATTAATAATAGTAATAGGTCTATTTATGTAGCGCTGCCACTATATGAATACTCTACTGTGCTTAATACAATTACAAAGTATAATATTTCACATCAGATGTAGCTGACCTGCTGTTAGCGCCGTAATAAGTCGCTAAAGCATTTAAGGAATTTTTTCCTACCGGGGACAATTTCACTGGTATAATGATTGAATACCTCACCTGGGTGGAGAGTGGCAAATATAGATTAATGTCTTGCCAAAGGAGATTGGTGCCACATCAGGACTCAAACCACAAACCATGTGATCCAAAGTGTGATGACGTATCCACTAGAACACAACACCTCTACATTGTGGTATTGCAAACTAGAAAATCTTGTAGAAAAAGTCACATAACCAGTAGCTTTTGTGTAGATCCATAAACTCTACTTGAAAAGAGATTAAGTACCAACACTTGACATTGTTTCCATTTTAAGACTCTGAGTCTGAAGTCTTATGGCATTTTTGCTTTGAGATCTCATAGTCATTTGTATATTGAATCAGAAAATGTATATATTTCTGCAACATTATTTCTGATGTGTTTGAATAAACATTTTTTCTTTAAGGTATATTGTTGCAATGATATTGTAGATTAACAGGAAATAATTAGGACATTATGTCAATTGAAATTAGGAGAGTGAGCAAAACACTGAAATTTTGAATAATTCTACATGAATACTTTATACATGGCAGACCTAAATAATTTCATAAGCATTTAGAAATGGGATATAAAGATGTTTATTCATAACGTAATATGCATGATACAAAGCTACAAACACAGAAAATCATATTTGTTATTATCAAATCAATATTGATGTTTATTCTATTTCTTCCCCAGACATACGCTGCATTACTTGGAGCAAGTTCATGGAATTACATTCGACGAAAGAGACAAACAGTAAGTCCTTCATCCTCTCACATATCTTAAGATTTCCACCAAGTTTGACGCTAAGATGCTTTAAAAAGTAGAATATCTGCACAAAATATGTTATAAGCCACACTGTCCTACTGGTAGCTACTTGCTCCCTATATAGAAAACTTCCCCAATTGGTGCCTGTTGATCTCCCATGATCCTCTTTTTTTATGTTAATTGAGAGCTGAGTTAATGAGATAGCCACCTGTCACAGTGACCTCACTGGCTTGCTGGGTGGTCTAATTCCTTCTGGCTGAACTAGTACAGCCGTCCTTTAATCATGTATCGGTATGCTGATCCAACATTTTCTCTGCTAAATATTTGCTGTGTCAAAGGTGTAGGGTTAGTAGAGGTTTCTGTTACAATTCTGTTTAAAGGTAACGTCGAGTTCTGGTCATGCAATTGCATTGTGAAATAAACAAGAATTTTGCAATTGACAGGTATGTGGAGGAGTTTTAGAATCACAATAACATTGGCAACTGAATCAACTGAATCAACCATTATACATCAGTAAGGTACAAGTACATGTGTAGGTGATAATATTCTATTAATCAGTCTAATTCATCTATTATTCCATTTGTTTTACAGTGGTCAGACACCTCTCCATGTGACATGTTATCAAGGGTTTCAAGATGCTGTCAAATATCTTCTAAGGAAAGGGGTAAGTTCTGACTCTCTAGTTATCTCTGTTTTCACTAGGAGAATGCCAGTCTAATGTATACTTATGAGAAATTCTTTGTAATACAGACTTTGTTTCCATTTTATGTCCGAAAGACTACTCTCGGATCTTTGCTCTGTATTAAAAAGTCTGAGGATATATTGTGTTCTGGTGTAATGAGTGCAAGATATCACAAAAGCCATTTCATGAAAATTGATATAGCTTAGTTCAGAGCACACAGCTCAATTATATAACATGAAAATAAAATAACAGGTAACTTGTGACCTTGTTACCTTTACAAATCTAGAATTTAAAACTCATTGAATTACAGAGGAATACTGCTTCAATGCATTCATGATATCATAGAGTTGCCAATTTGGTAGGAGCAAAGACCAGTTATATTTGTTAATTAGAATATCAATTTTTTGTTGTCAATGTACGCAGACTTTGAAGCTTCAAACTCTATTGTACTTGGTATATCAGTTATCAGGGTTACTGATACCTACTTTGCCTTTGGCATATTTTTAAAAAGCAAGTTGTGCTGATATATGTTTTGTTTCTTGTTTTTGTCACTTGACAACGACACCTCTATTGTTAGTCAAGAATAATTTGGGGTACCGACTCTTACTTTGCCTTTCTTTTTGTTTGTAGCGGTCAGATGTAAAATTGCCAGACAGCCATGGAAACTTGCCAATCCACATAGCTTGCCTGAATGCTCTCTCTGAGACATGCTGGACACTGCTAGAGATTGGCTCTTGTCAAACTCTGCTTATCAAGAACAAAGAAGGAAAGACCGCCCTCGACGTGCTCAGAGAGGGCAGGGGCATGTCGTAAGTCAAGCTAAAACCCTCTTAAATTCTATACACCAGTTTACGGTTACAACAGTGCGCATGCACAGACATGTGCGCCATTTTAACTTGCGGGTAAACAAACCACTGACCTCCAGCTGAGGTCAGTGGTTTACGCGTAAAGTAAGACGGCGCCCATGCAAATACGATGTGAATGCACCGCGCAGGCAGTGACGCATCTGAAATAATGGATGACATCACTGCCTGCGCTGTGCGCTCACATCATATTTGCATGGGCGCTATCTTAATTTACGCATAAACCACTGACCTCTAGAGGTCAATGGTTTGTTTACCCATAAATTAAAATGGCACCCATAACCGTAAGCTGGTGTATTGTGAAGAATTTACCCATTAACACTTGTAAATACACTCAAAGCCGGGGTTTGTGCAAAATTGCACCTGTGGCAAAGAAGCGACTGTGCAGAGGGGCAAAGATAGCAACCTAAGTGTTCAATGTAATGCATGCAAGTTTGGACATTTCAATTTCATATTTTTTTTCATTTTCAATGTACAGTTGTGTAGAACCTTATCTCTCTCTCTATAATTGCCATATCGATTGACTTTGGCGATCATGCTGTTCCACAACCCTTGGTTCCTAGCCTTCTGTATTAGTACCACTCCCAGTTCTTTCACTCCTCTCTCTTCCAACAATTTCTGCAGACTGTCCATCCAAAGTATCCTCCTTCTTCCCCTACACAATTTTCCCTGTCAAAGCAAGATTCTCTAGGCCTTCTTTACGTGTAATGTGACCCATGAACTTCAACTGCCTAATCAACATCTCACGTATCATTTTCCTTTGCACTCCTGCTCGTGTAAGAACTTCCTCATTACTAACTCTGTCAGTCCAGGGGATTTTCATCATTCTTCTTAAGAACCACATTTCGCAACTTTCCAAACGCTTTTTAGTATCAGAGGCTAAAGTCCACGTTTCACTACCATACATAAGTACTGGGTATATGTAACAATTCAATACTCTTATTCTGCTCCTCACACTCATTGTTCGATTTGTCAGAACCATATAGCATGATAAATACTGGCAAGTATTTCAAATGACATAGTAAAGATATTCATTTTGAATTGGTCATTTTATTTTTTTTCTTTTAATAGACATCAGTACTTATTCAAGGAAATGGACTACTGGGCTCACTCTAAGGCACCGCACTTACCTCCGAAGGGACCCCTCTTATCGTGGTATACCCTCTTGCTTGGACCCTTTGTATACTTTGCTCTTATCATTGCCGTCGGAAGTCAGCTAAGGCAATACGGTGGTGTATTCATGGCCGTATTCACTGCTGTTCTAGTCTTTCTGGTCAGCAACCAGCAGCATAGAATCTCACATATCAGCAGGTAAGCAAATCATCATTTTGTTGTATCACTTTGTTGTCAGGTTAACTGAAGAACAGCCATCTGGCAGAAATTCAATTTGATTCAATTTTATTTGTCCAAGTTAAAAACATGGACATGTTACATGAGATTTTTACAAGCAATAACAAGCTCAGCAAAAAGAGTATTAATTGGAATTCATGAGTGACATCTTAGACAATAAAAAATAAAATTGCCCATGGCAGGAGCACTAAGAAATAGTAAGAGGAGAAAGAGGGTGAATAGACAAAGAAGGACAATAGATTGAGGTGGAGAGAGAAGGGAATGAGTCAGAAGAAGAGGAAAGATAGAGAGAGAGAGAAAGGGAACGACTTGATGGGAGGTAAAGGACAGAGAAGTATGTTTTAATGTGACAGAAAGACTAAAATGAAATAAAAACTATTTTCTTGTCTTGTAGTAAAAGGAGTAGGAAATAATTACTGGTAAGTGACATTATAAGCCATCAGCGAAAATAATTTAGACAAAGTAAAGAAATGTTCTGTGGAGATATAGTCAAAGAAAAGTCTAAACTTTTGGATTCCATATTTCTATAAATTACATTTTGTTGGTCATTCATCCATTCATGCATTTTGCTGGACATTCAGCAATATACATGCAAACATATGCTGAGCTGCCAACTCATTTAAGTAAATTAGCTGCCAATACAATAATAATTATAGTAAATTTGTAAAGCGCTTAGAGACATTTGTATTAAGCGCTATATAAAATATAAATATTATTATTATTATTATTAATAATACATTTTGACAAATGACTGATACATATATGTTTCTTTCAAAATGGGAATATAGTATGAACCTTCAGCATTTTCATATTTCAGTACAAGATATTTAGAATCATTAGTTCTTTGCAGCTCTCCATTCATCGTTCCAAAGTGAAAGTACTCTGTAACAAGTCAGAATGTTCCATTTCTTAGTTAACATACTATACAAGAATTTGTATATTGAATGACCCTGTGCTTTCTATCACTTGTTGACTTCTCTCACAATGTAGATGGGCCAATCCTGTACAAGCTGGAGCCTTCTTTGCTGGAATCAGTCACACGGCCATCTGCTATTTCTACAAAGTACTACCAGATATCCTTTTCAATAGGGCTGAGACGAGTAGTCGAATGCTCGAGTAACCGCACTGTTGACAACTGCTCGAGTACGATTTCTCGTACTCGAATATTCGGCCGGAAAAAAAATTCCGGTCACCTGGCACTGTCCAGGCCGACGCTTAGCCGTGCCAGGGTGAGCGCCGTCCGCTGGCATGGTACCGTCGGTAAAAATGTTTCCCAGCTCAATCACAGTCAAACTCACCACTCAGAAACTGGGACCAAATGTCCTGATTTCTGTTTGGACTCGGAGGAAAATGGATTATTCTGCCATCTTTGGTTTTTAAAACAGCATTGTTTACTGTTATTATTATTATTAAATCGGCGCCTTTAACTGAAACTCGAAGTAAAATTGCGTGAGTTTTCGGAGACGGACCTGGGAAACTGCTCCTGTGGTATGGTGGTGGCAACAAAAAAACAAAAACATGGGGTCCGAATATTCGCTTGTAAGCCTGGGAGTATACTCGGGTACCTCATTACACGGTTGTGCACAGCCTTATTTTTCAACGATCAAACTCCTGTTCATTTATTTTGTAAAACTGATTTGGAAAAGGCAACAAACAGGACGAGATGGAGAGCGGTAATGAGGAGACCCGACCCCCTCCCCCTCCTCCCATAGATGGGACCCACGGGATGATGAGGAGACCTGACCCCCTCCCCCTCCTCCCATAGATGGGACCCATGGGATGATGAGGAGACCTGACCCCCTCCCCCCTCCTCCCATAGATGGGACCCACAGGATGATGAGGAGACCTGACCCCCTCCCCCCTTCTCCCATAGATGGGACCCACGGGATGATGAGGAGACCTGACCCCCTCCCCCCTCCTCCCATAGATGGGACCCACGGGATGATGAGGAGACCTGACCCCCTCCCCCCTCCTCCCATAGATGGGACCCACGGGATGATGAGGAGACCTGACCCCCTCCCCCTCCTCACATAGATGGCAGTGCTGTAGAACCCTGCCCATATACATGTATGCTCAATTTCCTTGACTGTTTGTCTTTCACTGTTATGGCCTGAGACAGTCAACCTATCTCTTCTGATTCTAATCCCCTTGGCCTTCATCATGGTTACGCTCTACTACCGCCTCATCACGGGGGACCCTGGTACTTGCAAGACCTCGCAGCGGCACAGTCAAGATGGGTCAGTTTTGACCATCAAGGATATCGTCAAAGGGAGATGCAAGATAGACATCTTCTGTGTGCATTGCGAGGTAAGTTATGGAGGAGGAGGGAAGTGTATGTTGAAGGTATTGTTCAGTTGTGTTTCATGAAGCATACTCTGTATTCGTACCGATTCCTTTATGAGAAAGGTGATAGCAAAATATTGTGAACAAATATACAAAATTGATGAAGACGATTTATTTTTGTTTTATATGTATCATACTTTTCCTATGAGAAAGGTATTCAAAAATGATTTGTTCTATCTAGATAACACTTTCTCAAAAAAATAAAAATGAGTGCACATTTTGGTATGTTCTTTGATTATTTACAGTTTTTTAAAAATTAAAAAATGGTTAGGCGCAACTGTCAAAAAATGAAAGCTCTCGTGAAAGCATTGTTTACCAATACCTTAAACATGGCAAATATGTGTTTAGTCTCTGTCACTTATGATCTCTGTATTTTGAAGACCGAAGTATATCTTGTTTTATGTCATTGTGCCATGTAGTTTTGAGTTTTGTATGTTTAGCTAACCACTTGATTTAAAGGTAAACATCACTCTTTCTCTTCCATGATCCTCAAGCTGTTACCAGCGGAGAATGTGAAACACTGCAAGATGTGCAGGCGATGCGTGAACAACTTTGACCACCATTGCCAGTTCCTTCTGTCTTGCATCGGTCATCGAAACCATCGCACTTTTGTCATCTTCATCCTCATCACCACTCTCATGCATGTAACGTTTGTTATCCATGCTGTACGATACATCTTCCAGATCAATAGCGGTCTTGACTGGATACCGTTTCTCAAAGCTATTTTAATGTACGAAGGTTGGGTTTGCATGCTCATCATCATGAACGCTGTATCGTTCTTTGGGAATCTCAATCTGTCCCGTTTCCAGCTGAGTATGATATCGTACGGGTGGACGACCTTTGACATGATCCAGCGATCCAGGCGAACACGTTTCCGTTTGTCATCGATCAATATGAAGTGCAGCATCAGACTGAGGAATATTCAAGCGTTTTTCATGGGACAACCTTTCTTTGAATCCTACCAGGGAGGTCATTCAGGGTCATCTAGTGTGTAACCAGGGCAACCATCATCTTCATCATGTAATGAACGTCTGTATTTCATACATTTTGTGTAGTTAATTTTTAGCAATCTCATTTTGTGGATGGACGTAATGAAGACTCTGACTTTTCAACAAATCTTTTGAGTACTTTCAAGTTCTCATGCCTTCAGTAGCTTTTATTACTTGCAAAAGATCTTTAGTGGTATTGTTAACAGTGAGATGTACCAAGACTTGAAGATTTCTTGTGATAATTGTATCATTATGTGTTCTATCGAATATAAAGTAAATCCTCATTTATATAATGATAATACCAATAATAGCAAACTTTGTTTACCAAAGGAATGCTGAAAGTGCCTAACAAACAAACAGTCCAGAAAATTACGTATGAGGATTTTACCTACCGTATTTGCCGGCTTAAAGGCCGCAGCATTTTTGGAAGAAAAAATATCAAAAAGTCGGGGTGCGGCCTTTGCGGTGAGTAAAAAAAAACAAAAAAACGCAAGTCAAAACCATGAAAAAAACAGCACAAGTTTGCACATATGGGACTACAATAACTATACCACTATGGTACAGGACATTTCCACACATCTTACCGACAATTTTATCTTGCATTGTTGACATGAAGACGTAAATAAACTTCCTATAACAACATTTGCCGATAGATCTTGATCTAAGTTCGTGCCAATGCATGGCAAAAGTAAAAGAAGGGACCGTTACGGAGCTGCCGCGAACGCAACTGGACATCCAGCCGAAGTCACCATTTTGTATCCATTTCATGCAATTTCGCATTACACCGTACATTGTGGTAGGTGTATATATCGGACACCAAATCTGCCTGCGATCATTTTTTAGCTAAACTTCTGGTAATTTATAAGAATATTGATGAATTTGGTATAAGTTTGTAAAACAAAAATAGTGTTCTACGAGAAAATTACAATTATTTTGTTTTGTCCGTTTTTTTTTTCCTCTTTGAAATGTCATAAGTTGGGGGTGCGGCCTATGCGGCGCTGCGGCCTTATCGCCGGCAAATACGGTATTACTAAACTGCAAAATGTAAAGTTACATAGCAGTAGAGGAAAAAAATTGTTAACATACTAATAATCATAGTAGAAACGTACGTAAACGTAGAGTAGAAAAAGACTGTGTTATGGAGTTACAAAAATATAATACTATTCTATTGTGATCAATGGAATCTGTGTCTACCTAGTTTGTAATATTGTCATGAAGACACTGATGGAATTCCTAGGCTGCATGATATTTGGCCATTGAGAATTTTAATAATAATAACAATAATGATGATGATGATGACGACGACTCTATAGCGCATATTACTTTTAGTCCCTATGCATAGCTGCCAACTGTTACCAAAAAAAATTGTAATTGTTACGAATTTCCCACCCTCATTACGAATTACGAATACCCCTTCTATTACAATTTTTTTTTTAAAGAAGATTTTTGTTGTTGTTGTATTTTGTGTGTGTGTGTGCAAAATGCCCATTCTGTCCTGTAAAGTATCCTACAAGCATCTCACATTGGCAATTTGGGGATGTCTTTTGGTTCATCGCACACACCAGTCATGACAAAATCCTGCATATTTAACCAATGATCCATAAAAAAATTTCTTCCTGTATGTAGGATCTGTAAGAGGCATTGATCCATGTTTTTTTTCTTAATATAATTTTTGTCAGTAAAATACAACTTTGGGGATTGAAGAATACAGTTTTTGAACTCCAGAGGTTGGCAGGTCTGACATAGATGTGCGCTTCACGCACATGATATTCAGTTTTACTTAAATGTTACTAATTAAAATGTCCAAATGTTGGCAGCTATGTACAATTCAAATCAGAAGCCAACTAAATCTAAACTTTATAAAACTGCTCCTGAACAAATGGTTAGCTGTGACTGCCTTTAAGGGGCAGGGCCCCATTTCATAAAACTTTTCATCAATGACAAATGACAGTGTTTGTTATAGAAGCTAGTGAAATTCTTGCTTTTTATTTGTTATCAGCAGATATGTCATTGATTTTTGTCATTTGTCATTGAAAGAGGCTTTATGAAACGGGTCCCAGGTTTAATTGTCTACCCCAAACCGTAACTAGAAGCTGCCGTACGCTCAGAGCTTTCACATATTTCGCGCATCGTTTATACTGTAAAAACGATGAGTCACAACATCAAAATGTACCTTGCACACATTTCTTGTCATTTCATGGGTAATACTGCATTTACATTTACAATGCATAACAGTTTCTGGTTGTACAGTACTCATTTCCCCCCATCATTTCAAAGCTCATGAAAACTATCTCTTTCCTTCCATGATCTGTTTCAGATCATTCGGCCTGCCGGAACGAAGCACTGTCGGTTGTGCCATAGATGCGTCAGTAATCTTGATCACCACTGTCTCTTCATCGTCAACTGCGTGGGAGAACGCAACCATCGATCTTTCATCATCTTTCTCTGCGTCACATCTCTTGCTCATCTCGTCTTCATCTTCCACTCCTACCTGTTCCTCACCTCCCTGTACCCCGACGCCGACCTTTGGCCTCTCCTAGTACAGACGTTCTACGACCAGACGTGGGTTCTAATCCTCTGCTTCCTCAACACGTATACTGTCATATGGGAGATGTTTCTCATACAATACCAACTCCAATATATCTCTCGTGGTTTGACAACAGCGTACGACATCTCAAGGAGGAATCCAAACTATGCTCAGATCATGGAAGTCTCATTTCACGACAGATTGCGAAATATTAAGAACTTCTTGTTAGGAAGGAGGACAAAATCTGCATTTGAGTTGCGTAAATCCCGAATAGTGTAATACTGAACTGTTAAATAACAGTCACATTTTAAAGGCATAGTTGAGTTCTATTTTAGACCGCAAATGCCTTCAAAGTGCATGGTTATTGCTCTTGCTATGAAGGTAAATTCAGACCCCAAAATGTGAAAAATTTAGCCAATACGATCATACAAATTTAGCTCCACTTTCAAAAAAATATGGTGACTGTTAATTGATTATTTAATTAAAAATAACAATACATGGGCCGGCTGGTTGTGCGTAATACAAGCAACACAAAAATGCCAACAAAATAGACAACGTTGGCATTGGCTGAAATACGACGTAAAAGGCAGTATTTCATTTTTTCAACGGTTTTTTTCAAATTTGTCAAAATATCTTATATTTGTGGTGGTACACAAGTATTAGAAATCGTTATATTTTAGCTGTCTCTGAACCGATTTTGATCAAACAAAGATTTTTGTCATTGATATTGTTCTTTCAAATTTGACACTCAGTTTTTCATTATCTTACAAAAACATTATTTTGTGTAGCGCCCTCTGCAACAGAACTCAACTATCCCTTTAAGCGTAGTAAAGCATTGTATAGAGTGGAGAGGTACATTAATTCAAGGATTACAAGGTGCAGCCTCTTCGCAATGTGATGCAAGGGCTAAGAGTACATTTTATTGAATCTGTCCACAAAAAAGGGGCATAACAGAACACAGGCTTGGTGAATTATTGAATCTCACCTGAATCTCTACTGAACAAAATACCTTATGGTATATGCATTTCATTTTCAAAGTGGTTCTTTGAAATTGATGGAATCGATTGGTGGTGTGGCTTCAAGTCGTACATGTATGTGACACCACACATATGTACATTTAAAGTCACAGAGTCAGGCTATTACGAGTGGACAAATTTATGCAGAAAAGTCAAATTGGTTAGATAGTGATACAAATCAGTCGTCGGAAGAAAAGAAAAACCTGTGGTAATAGGCTTTAGACTTTAAAGCTTTGTTTAAAACTAGTATACAGATCAGGCTTACATTAGCTAGTGTAACATATATTTATGCCTATTTTCATCATAGAAATTGATATATGCCATGTATGTAATATTACATTTGATGAGTGTGTGTAGTTCTATTAAAAAGTACTACCAAAATTTATGTCAACAATTTAACACCAGTACATAGGAAAAAAGACCATTTGGGATTTTTTTTCCCAGACCAACATTGTAACAAAATTTAAATGATATTGCAATATTTATTTTAATATCTTTGTTTTGAGATTTGAGTAGAGAATTTTCTTTGTGTTCATGCAATGCATCTCCAATTTAATTTTCAAATAAGCCTGTTCTATTTCTACATTTATCAATGTAAGGCTTTTTTCTTTCCTTTTTAAATATTCTGGGATGAAAGCAGTTTATTCACTTGACCTCGATCAGAATGATAAGAATTTGAATCCTTATTGCCCTTGTAATAAACCAAGACTTGTTTTTGTCTTTCTCTCTCTCTCTGACTCTATCTATTCCTTCTCCCCCACCCTCTCTCTTTCCTAATAAACTTAGATGTAGTAAATAGGTACCTGGAAGGAAGGTTATCGATAACATATCTATAAAATTTGTTTTCTTGAATATAATATACATGTACATGTATTTTTTTCATTGAATACACTGACCGAGCACAAAAAGTCATTTTAGCCCAGCTAAAGCTTGGGTTGTGAATGGAGCGCCTCGTGGGGCCAACAATGTGAAATTAATTGACATATTTATATAATGAACTTGATCCTCTATTGTCATGTGTTAATGAGCTGTGAATAACAAATACTAGAACAAGCATTTTGATCAAAAATACTATGTTATATTGTATTGTAAATGATTTTAATTTTTTTTATTTTTTAGTTTGTTTGTATATTTGCTGAAATTTGTGATGAGATCAGTACTCTTCTATTTAATGAAAGTCAATTTGATGGACTGTGAATTTGATGGACTGTGAATTTGATGGACTGTGAATTTATATGACTAGGAAAGGTTCTCGCCCTGCAGGTATATATTTCCCCTTGGTGTTAATTGAACGAGCCACTTCAGAGATACTATTTGGGCATGGGCAGATAAAGGTCATTTGTTCATAACGAGATGACTGCTTGGTATGTGTTCATGAAAGTTATGCAATCATCATTCATTTATACACCGGCAGTACTTTCTATGATACACAGGTGTATCTTTTCAAGGGTGCAAATAAAAACTATTGATGAAGCACCTCCATGACTTTGGCAGTGATTATGCTATAATACATCAAGTGGGACGTCTCCATGTTTAAAAGGTCTGTGGATATTTGGGAGTCATGTGTACAGGTGCTATCCCCGTGGGACGTCTCCATGTTTAAAGGGTCTGTGGATATTTGGGAGTCATGTGTACAGGTGCTATCCCCGTGGGACGTCTCCATGTTTAAAGGGTCTGTGGATATTTGGGAGTCATGTGTACAGGTGCTATCCCCGAAGTGGTATGTTAAGAGGCCATGGTGCATTACAGTTTGAAGGGTTTAAAATGACTAAAGCCGCCTAGCATGTTGTTTGATAGTGTTGTTGTCAGATTTAGTACTGTTGATCTTGTATTTGACAAAGAGAATCCTCCATCTCTTTGTTGAGGTTGAAGTGTGTATGGAGGTGTCGGGTTTGAAGGTCATAGAAGGTAGCTAGAAAGGGAAAAACATCGAGGTCCTTTTTCTGAAAAGGAAAGTTTTTAATAGGAGCCTCTTTTTCAGATCTTGTCGTGACAGAGTAAAATTGCTGTTCCACCATATTTATTTTAATGACAAAGAAGTTGTAGGGATTGGTAATTTGTCTTTCAAATAGTTACGTGCCTCCTTTGCGGAAATGTGGCATGGTATTAATTTTGTTCAGTAGTTTCGCCAATTTATTCCTAATGCATATTTTTTTTTTTTATTAAAGTCTCTTTATTCTAATTTCTCGTGTTTGTATGCAATGATGTTAGAAAATTGTAGATACATGTATTTTCTATTTTCTATGAAATATTTGTTACTTTTAATGATTTCTACTTCTTACGTACGTGTACATACTCCACATGCTGTTTACAATCATTAGCTTTATATGCTAGTTAGGTTTACAAATGACAGATAGGTCAACAATCGATAGTTATTATTTCTAACTAGATAATAGATTTTCATTGTCGTCATAACCTTGTTTAAAACTGATTTCATGTTTTTCATTATTCAAAATTCACAATCCGTTCTTCTTCTTCTTCCATTAATCTTATAAGGGTAATGTAGCCCATCACAAAGACATGTAGAAAGATGTTTGTATGCAGGCACACTTAACACCGGATTTACACCCTGCTCCTTGCAAGAGCATATTAAAGTGTAGTGTATTAACGGGCAAAGGGTGTGACTCATCTACACACAGGGCCTCTAGTTAACGTTCTAGTCAGAGGAACAGAGTTTGTTTCCTCTGAACCCAAGCCTGCATCGATAAGAGAGGGAAGGGGCGCAGCGCACTTACACACTATGCAACAACAATCATATTTTCATTTTTGTCTGCTCGGCCAGCGTGGGACTCAAACCCTCGCATGCCAGAAGTCATGCATGAGAGACAGACCGCCTCGAGTAAACTATACACTCAATATTAATGGATTCACCTCAAATGTAAATGGCGATTAGTGTTTATTACAAGTAGCTTTCGATCTCTCAGTGCTATCTAAATGTATGGAAACTCTGATGATCTAATATATATTGAAGTTACAGTAAATAAAACCAGTAGAAATTTCAAAGTCATGTAACAAAAGAGCAAGGAGTTGATAGTTCCACTCATCAGATGATGCCTTGCGTGGCTCTCTAACCTGGATTTGAATTTTGCTGCATAACGTTGTTCGAAATAAGAAAAAGAAATTGTTATATATTATTAACGAAATATTTGTAATCATTTGGCAATTGTCCTTTAATAGTAGAACCTTGCAGCACATTTTCTTATTTATACCCTCCATCTCATGTGTGTTTTGCTTAATTTTTCAATGAAAATGATGCAATACAACAAATAATGTACCGTACTTAGTATATGTAGATCTCATCTTGATGTACAAATTGATGTCAGACACTATTCCTTCTTTATATTTTGTCGTTGTTAAAGATAAACTTTAGTACTGGTAATGCGATTGCATTGTGAAAGAAAAGGTGTGGAAACAGTTGATCATGTAGCATGTAAGTATTGGTGTGCACTGCAAGGTTCTGGAGTCATCAAAATCATAATAAATTTGACCGAGTCTTGGTAAAGTAACAAGCACTCACATAGAAAGCTATATATGGGACAACACACATGGTGTCGGGGCTAGTACTACCTTGATTTCCTTGTCTTTCTATGCTCATTACTCAGCCAGTATACATTTTCTTCCAAAATTGTTTGGCACATGTCATTTATTTGTAATCTTGAACATTCAGTGTAAGTTTCGTTTGATTCTGTGAGAATTTTTTTTTTTTTTTACCAGTACTGGAGTTTATCTTTAAGAATTAAGAGGTGTGAAATAAAACAAGAAATGAATGGCAATGATGCAAGTGAGTGTATTTTGTTTTGAGTACTTTTTATCTGCTATTTACCCTGGAGTCATGTATGTATGCCATTTATGAAGAAGCTTCATTGTGATAACTAAGTTGGAAAAAAACATGAAGAAGAAAGTTATGATTTATTTAGAACTTACATCACTTCAAATGCAGGATCTCTAATAGGATAGTTAGTCAATGGACTGCAACAGAACTGGGTGCATTTCTCCCAATATATTTGTACTCTGTGCGGATAGTCTATAGAATGAACTTCTTTCTAGTAATCATATTTTAATGCAGCCAGGGTTGTATTCATATAGATAATGAAGATTTAGTAAGATTGTTTTAATGTTCATTTTCAAAATGATATTTCAGTCATTTTGCATATTGGAACAATTATATTGTCCACACTTCATCACAGTGAAATTATGAATCCACAAGTTCCTAAATTCTCATAGTTACAGACAGACTTTCTCGTTGTTCATACAAATTTATTCAAACTTTCATCACGTTTATCTTTTTCTCTTCTGCTTTCTTTCAAAGCAACTTGATCAAGGTTGGGTTGCCCTTTGAATACAAAGTGCTTCATTTTTTTTCATTTTTTTTATCATTTTTTGAACATTTTATGCTGTATTTTCAAGAATTCACCAGGAAAACAAATTTGGTTGTTTCGAGCAGGTTTCTTGTTTTAATACAAACGAGTTATTGTTTACAATTACAGATAAAATCTTACAAGACAATGATATCAATAATACTTGTGACATTGAGATGAGTTTATGAAGCTGCAACACCACAATAATTTGCTTATAAATATTACTTTACAGATATCGGTGTCGAGCAATCAAATACACAACACAGAGTTTATTATCTAAAACATGTATAAATAGGGCATGCTCTTTAGCCATGTGGGTGTATAAATAGGGCATGCTCTGTAGCCATGTGGGGGAGAGGGCATCGGGACATTCAAATAGATCAAAAATCAGTTACGTGTATATTAATGATATGGCATTCTTTGAATGCTTTACTTAAAGCACCTTGGGGGAGCTGAACTCATGCTCTGATAATAATCATACTTTGTGCATTGAGCATCCACTGGGAAGAATATGTGTGCCATATAAATGTTACTATTATTATCAAGGCAGATTATTGGGTAGTATGTTGTAAAGGGGGAAAACTATACAAAATAATAAGTTCACAATATTATTCCCTCCCCCCCCCCCCCCCCCCCCCCCCAGATGCAAGAACATTAGGATTTTGACAATCTACATGAATACATTAAATTTGAGAGGTACTTAGGAATTTGAAACAAATAATTATTTCATAAAATGCCTTAATGCAACTGAGAACTAACCTCACCAGTCACACACACTCATACATATGTACCCACACACAAACAGTCTGGTCTCAAGAGGTCTTGAGCGGTTTTCCCAAAGACCTTGAGGTTCGAGACCGAAACCTACAAAACTATTAGAAATACTTTTACAAGATCAATTCATATATCATTGCTACATTTTCTAAATCTGAACCATGATTTTTGAAATTTGATATTGTATTTGTATTACAAATTCATTTTGAAAAGACAGTGCATGTTCTTAATAAAATTATTAAAAAAACATGAAACAAAACAAACAATATTCATTATTGAACATCCTAGGAGCCAATATTTTGCACTTCTGAAAGCATAGCGTAGTTGATCTATACAAGTCACAATATTCCTGCTGTCAAATCATATGCACTGGACATGGAACCCTAAAATGTCCGTACACAAAAAGTGAGCTCTCAGCCTTCTACATGCTCTGTCTTATAAACAGAATAACTTGTCAAGTTCAAGAGGTACTGATCATTTTTATTTAACATTTTTCTTGTTTTGGTCGACTTTCAGAACATTCAAAAGACTACTATAGTCATTTGTTTCTGTCAACCAGTCGCCCATATACAAAACAAACTTGGCAGTCTATGACTTCAGTTCTTGGCAAACAAAGGATAATCATTGTTGCATCTATAACTATACATGTATTGGTCATGAAGATGAGGAATGTTCTCTCTGTAATGTGACAACGACTGAATAGAGTCTATGCAAGGAGGTGCATGCCCTATTGCTGAGATAGCATTGTGTAGCTCAAGAAGTATGTTGAGTATCCTCAATCCAAACTCTCTCTTGTTCAAGAAAAACTTTGTTACATTACTAAGCAAAATATGTAAGTGAACCTTCTATTTTATTTTCCTTAATTAAGAAGACATTTCCTTCCAAGATTTTGATGATGTATGTATACACCAAGATGGGGTCATGTTTTGTGCATGTGTTACATCAGGCTCAATTCAAATACATAAATCCATAAAAAGTCAAACAATAAATCAAGGCAAATGACCAAAACTGAAAAATGTAGCATCAACCATTTGCATAGTGGATCAATGATTCTTAATAATGCCCTAAACTTTTCTGGAATTGCATGTTTCACCACAGGAAATATTTTGCAGCAAACAAGATATTGGAATTGGAATGCATTAAAAAATATAAGTTGAGAATTTGCAACAAACAGCATCAAAAGTGTTATTAAAAATGCATGACAGTTATGCACTTTTGTTCGGGGGGGGGGGGGGGGGGGGGGGGGGGGGGGGGGGGGCTGGATCAATAATCTTTGTTGTTGTTTTTGTTGCTTATTCTTAAACAAATATCACACCATAGTAACAAGTAACAAATTGCCTTAACCCTGTCCCCCTGCCTGGGGGAGGGGCTTAATAAGCTTAATAAGCCCCTCCTCCCCTATACATTTTTTGCAATAGTTTTTTAACGCAAATAAATCTTGCGCTGAAATTTTACAACTTTTTTTCTTTGGATCTTGCGCATCTTTTGAAACAAAATTTGTCAAAAATTGGACCTACCGTATTTGCATGTTAGCCCCCCCAAATCACTCATTTTCGTGATTTGAGTAACAAAACATGGAAATATCATTTTGCTTAAAAAGATATTAAAAAAAACATTGGTTAGTTAGTATTGTATATGGTTTAGGTGTTTGTTTTGGAGGTCAAATGAAATAAAACAACAAAAACAATAAAATACATAAGTAAAAGTAGTACATAAGGTTTCGTGGTCGAGTGGGCAAGTCACCGGACAGTGGATCACAAGATCCGCAGTTCAAGTCCCGCCGCGGCAAGAATGTCCTTTGGTAAGACATAAATCTACAGTTGCCACACTTGACCCAGGTAAGGTAAATGGGTACCTGGTAGGATTATTCCTTGAAATGCACTGTGACAATCGGCTGTTTCGAGGCCAAGATCTTATCTTAGGGCTTATTTGCCCCCCCCCCCCCCCAGGCTATATATCGGCTTCATCCATGTTTCAAAAGACCTTGGAAGAAAACCTGAAAATGCAGTAAAGGATTGTTGGCTCAGTCAGTAGAGCGTCCGCCTCACAACCGGGAGGTCGTCATACGTCATACTAAAAGACGTTAAAAGATGGGAGTTGTTGCTACCTTGTTTAGCGTTCAACAATAAGGGATAGAGCAACGTCGATCTGGCGCTGCTCAGTGGCTGCCGGGCTCACGATCAATTGGGCAAAAAGAATTTCCGTTTCTGTTTAATAAAATTTGGAGTGGACTATTATTATTATGAAGAAAAAAAAATGAAAAAACATAGGAAGAGGGGAACTAAGCGTTAAAAAGTTACAAGTTCTGTATTATATATGTGAAGATTATTGTGAAGATTGGTACGTTTCTTCAGACACGACTTTCAAGTGAGCCTGCAAATGATCGACACTACCTCCCAAGGAAGGAAAACAAGAAATCTAATTTCAATGAGCATTGTTTGCAGTGTAATGTACAAGACAATGCCATCTATCCTACTTTACATAGATTTGTGTACACACATAATACCACAAACAATACAGACAATTGTTATGCAGTTCCATATATCAAGATAGGACACATTGTTGACAAGACTCTTTGGTAGAACACGCTTATATAAAAAGGAACGTGGACAATACACCGACACAGTGATATCTTGTATAAATGCTTCAAATACTGCGATACATTTGCCATGCATAACCTATCTTATATCATGCTTTTCTCAAATTCCATGTTCTATTTGATTAACAAACTGCATCAAATAACAGAACCTTTCACTGGCAAGTCTTTCTCATTTGGCCCATATGTTTCCAATACATTCAGTAACGACTTTCTCCTCTCGCGACATCTAAACGCAAGTCAATTTGTTGTTTGCATGATCTTATAAAAGTGCCCTCTTTCTACAAGTGCATGTATAAATTCTTGCTTACTTTTGCATATACTGTTGACATCAGTTACTATTGCACATACAAGGGCTAAACCGACGGACAACGTCCTTTCCCTTTCTTATAAATAGTACCACATTTCTCAATATCATTGCCATGGCAATGTGATGCATCTGACCTTTGACCTGGAATCCAATCAACATCGCTGGCATGGCCAAAGCCTGTATAAGTACATGATCTGTGTAATTGAGTTGGAGCTTTGTTCAAGTGAAGTGCTGGCTGATGCTTGCTGCTTTGGCTCTCAGAGGCTCTTCCTTGCTGCGCTTCAGTGTCTCAATCGTCTCCGGTAGCTGCTGTTCAACCATGGCTTGCTTCAGAGAAGCTACAAAGTACACAAAGCAAAAAGAACACAGGTCTCAAATGTTGAGCTTCCCAGTTAAAGTAAATAGTACCCGGTGGCAAGAAATTGCTTAAGCGACTTTGCATGGCAGCTCAGCTACAGCAGGGGTTACAATGTGATGCTTTGTATTCAGTGCAGTAGCGTTTATTCATACAGCAGCTGTGCTATATAAAGTGACATATCATCATAATCTCTTTCTTTTGAGTTTGTGACTTGATGCTACATCTAGTGAAATACCTAACTTTGATTGTTTGACATGATCTTCATAGGGGTGGGCGATCCAACTTCACAGGTTTTCGCAACCTTCATGGAAAGCCCCGCATATAACCTTTGTAAACATAGTTAAAATTTACTGTTACTTTGTATATTTTGATTTTTATATTGCGAAATAAAATTGAATTGACTTGACATATTTCTTTCTACTGGGTACCCATTTACTTCACTTGGGTGGAGAGTGGCAAATGTAGATAAATGTATTGCCAAAAAGGATATTATTCTAGGGAACATTAGTGAAATAATGGACAGGACTGAATAAGAACATACCTGACTGCGTAAGAAAACCAGCCAATGTGAGGACATTACACTGGACCTCCACAGTGTAAGAGGACTGAATAAGTACATACCTGACTGTGTAAGAAAACCAGCCAATGTGAGGACATTACACTGGACCTCCACAGTGTAAGAGGACCGAATAAGAACATACCTGACTGTGTAAGAAAACCAGCCAATGTGAGGACATTACACTGGACCTCCACAGTGTAAGAGGACTGAATAAGTACATACCTGACTGTGTAAGAAAACCAGCCAATGTGAGGACATTACACTGGACCTCCACAGTGTAAGACGACTGAATAAGAACATACCTGACTGTGTAAGAAAACCAGCCAATGTGAGGACGTTACACTGGACCCCCACAGGGTTAGGGGACTGAATAAGAACATACCTGACTGTGTAAGAAAGCCAGCCAATGTGAGGACGTTACACTGGACCTCCACAGGGTAAGCCGTCTCTTGCAGTATGGTTTTGATTGTAGACAACAATTTAGATTCCAGTAATGTCGATTCAGCCGATTCTGGAGGAAAGAGAATTACGTTTTACAAAAATATGTGAAATAAGACCATCATGCGCACTAATGTACAAACAGATACATTGTAATTGCAAGCCAATGAGCATCCAATAAAATTGTACTTTATAATATCTTTTTCTTTGACGATACAACGCACTGTAACTATTCAATTGACACACTGATTAAAACACTGAATTCCCTAAGACATTTTAGGGATATTACATATAAGCACCATTAGCACTCAGGAGAGGCAGATACCTTTAGCTTGGAAGTTTCCTTGGTCTTAGTGAGTTTGTTATAACGAGGTTCCACTGTACATTTTAAGGAGTTCAGATATTGGTTTCAGTTGTGTGTTGATTTAATGCTAGAATATATCGAGCTTGAAGCAGATACATTTAATTTGGTGTAGGCTTTTAGCTTTTATTATCATAGTTGATATTTGGATGTAGAGTCCAAGTCATCATTTATTTGTGCAAACATTGTTCAAGTATTTATGATCCCTTTATTTCTCTTTTGTATTCGCAGTGGTGCTGCTGGGACAACAGCACCACTGCGCCTAGAAACAATGTATTAGGCGCGTTATAAATGTGATTTATTATTATTATTATTATTCACAGATTGAATAAAATTGCAGCTTGATTTTTCGAGCTCTACCTATGCAATTCCAAAGTGGCATTCCTGGTTCTGAATTCCTTATACTTCAGTGATCCAATAACCATCATCATCATTTCATTGTGTACATTGTCAACACAAACACAAACTATCCCCCCCCCCCCCAACAACAACATTTATGATGATCATCTTACCCAGATGGGATGCAGCTATCAGCGTTAGAGCAACCAGAGCCTCGTTCTGCATCAGCGGATGTTCTGACGTTGCCATGCCAACCAGACAAGGTAAACCTCCATGCTGGACGATGGTTTCCATCACTTTGGTGGAGCCAGAATGCTTGATCAATGATGCCAGAAGTCTGGTTTTTAAAGTATAGATCAAAAAATATGTTGGAGCTTAAAGCTAATCTTGAGCTCTGGTATGGGAATCATGTGTCGAGAGAACATGGTTATAATTCATTCTGGATTGTTTATCCTGCAGTAGATTAATTGTTTGAACCAGTTAAATACAAACAAACTCACAAAAACTTGCTAGAAATCATCTTCAATAAAAACCACAACTCTCCTTTGCAAATAGTGACCTTTGTTTATAAGCACATGGTGTCGGGCTTACTTACCTTGATTTCCTCCTCCTTTTTCAAGCTCATTACTAAGCCCCTGTACATTTTCTACCAAAATCGTTTAGCACATTTATTAGCAATCTTAAACATTCAGTGTGAACCTTGTTGGATTCTGTGAGAATTTATTTTCTTCCATTACCAGAACTCAAGCTTATCTCTAAGAGCTGTTTCCTCATAAGTCATGATTCATTCAAAAGACATGAGCAGTCAATAATTTTCCATCTTACAACTAAAGAAAATCTACCCCTAAATCAAAATCTTAGTAGTGAACTGACATATGAAATTCATCCATCCGGTCGAGTAGAAATGGTTTAAATCAAACACAATTGATTTAGTTATCAATTGCAACTCTGTACATGTAAAACTGAAGATTGATAGAAATCCAATCATTTTCAACAGACATACCTTGTTGCCTCTCCACTGACCCCAGGATGTATTTCACAGGCACAAAGCTCTACGACCCTTTGAATGAACTCTGACCTCTGACCTAGATCAACTGCTGTCTCAGCTGTAAAACAAAAGAGAAGCAACATTCAATTTTTTTTTTTTTTTACAAATTGGGAAATACCCCAGTTTAAAATTTCATTAAAACTGTTTTCACCAAGATTTTTTCATGGTGTGTTTCAGCCTGGAAAGTATTATCCGCCTTTTGGGTTTTACTGAGATTAAATCTATCCCCAAAAACATAGACAGTAGAATGGTATACGAACATATGTCAGAATGTAGAGGGTTATATGCAACCTGAATTTGTAATTCTTTACCAATAACAAAACAGCACAAAATTGTGAAAACTTGTAGCAATCTGCAGTGAGAAATGATGATTAGAATATTTCAATAACTGATGACAGAAATATATTGCTGTAAAGAGGTCTAGTGCATTACATCCCTAAGATGACAAACAGTTCAGAACTGTGTGAGAGATACCAATTTGGTAATTGGATATCCCAAGAAAAATTATGCTCTTTGTTTAGTAAAAGAAAAAAAAGTCATACACAAATTTTCCCTCAAACTTAAGCTTCCTAGGTAAAATTGAACACCAAACTGAGCACTACTCATGCTTACCCATGCTATCGACCAGCATCCTTGCAGTCCCAAGAAGTTTGAATTGCACAAAGAGCATCTCAGACTGAAGCAAAGGCAGAATCTCATCTAGTGTGTTACAGCTCAACATTATAGACTTGTTCACCTCTGTGACAAAAATTAAAATAATTTACTGCATGTAATATACAGTGGAACCTTGTATATATAAAGGCCGCTCAAAGGAGACAAGACAACTATTATATATGTACAGTGTATAAATCCTTTAACTCTTTGCCAGCTTCAGTCAACTAATAGAACAAAGAGTGGACCACCACAGTCAACTTTTGACCCACATAAAAATCATGTTAAACAGATACTCCTAAAAAGTGAGCTGTCTAGTACTTCAATCAGCAGTGGATAAAGTGCTAATACAGGTTTCAATGAGAAACACTATAATTGAAGGAAATTTTTATATGTTTTTTACAGATGGACTTTCAATTATCGAAGAAACAAACCATTAAGACAATCATAAAAACCAATTTGAGAATACCACCCATCTGGCCCTTGCCTTAAAATGATTTTTGATTGAACTAAATCACTCATGACTCCTTGAATCAAACACTAATTTACAAGCTCCAATCTCTTATACAAAATGCGATTGATATCAATCTACAGTTAAATTTTCATTGACTTGAATCGATTGCAACTCCTTATAAGCCAGGATTCAGGTATGAATTGTGAAGTGGATCTTACTTGGAATAGCAAGGTTTCTAAGAGCACTGAGTACAGCATGTGTCAACCTTGTGTCTACCTCCTTCCCTTCATATGGCTTGAGAAGTCTGAGTAGCTGGGGAACAATGCCACTCGAGACAAGCTTAATGCAGTTATGATCTGAAAAGGAATGTCAATAATAATAATAATAATCTTTTAAAGTCCACTCCAAATTTTATTAAACCGAAAATGGAAATTCTTTTTGCCCAATTGATCGTAACCCCGGCAGCCACTGAGCAGCGCCAGATCGACGTTGCTCTATCCCTTATTGTTGAACGCCAAAACAAGGTAGCAGCAACTCCCGTCTTTTAACGTCTTTTTGGTATGACGCAGCCGGGGTTCGAACCCACGACCTCCCGGTTGTGAGGCGGACGCTCTACTGACTGAGCCAACACACCGGAATGTCAATGTTTGCTCATTGATTCAGAATATTTTGATATCTGAAAGGAGACTTTCAACATTTTTAAGCTAAAACAAAAATGGTCTCACACTGTGTATGAATCTATAGTTTAATCCTTGAAAACATGTACCAGGAAGTTACATGCAAAGCAATAAAACATGTATCTATGCGTGTGTTAATAAGTATCCGCTCTTTGGGGATTTTTTCTTTATTTGTTTAGCAAGAGCAGATGAAAAAATAGTCCATTTATCTACTAATTTTGTTGGAAAATGCATCACTCACAGTTTGTAATTTTCTTAGCATTCTTGCCGTTTATAATTTGGGGTAACCTTATTTGTAACATTTATCGATAGCATTGATAATCTTGCATCACAGCCCTTACAAATTTTTAGATAGTATCAGTAATATCAATAATTCAATGACATTGAGCAAACTCACCATTACGAGCAAAGTTTCCTATAGCGAGGGCAGCAGATATGCGGAAGTATTCTACTTGAGATGCCATCCATGTATCCATGACATTCCTAAAGAATAAACCCTCTCCTTCCTGGAATATATACGCCATGCACTCATCTGTAGACAAAGAAGATAACTCAAAAATGAGACACACCGTGAAAGAGATTTTTGAAGTACAATTAAGAACATAAAATTTAAGCACTGGAACATCACACATAAGCTGCAGTTACACTGCAAGCAAGTATTCTGTTGTTTTTTGTCAATGTTTTGGTCACATGACTCTCCTACCTTCAGTGCTAATGCATGCAGGGCAGCTGGTGCATGTGCACAATTATCATACACTGACAGTTTCTTTTAGGTTTATGTAGTAGTGTAAAAGGCAGTAAACAAGAAAGAATGGTTTTTCAAAGGGGTGTTTGGGCTGTGTAAATGGGCCTATACTTGAGCCAATGTGATATGCGATTCTTGTAAACCATTCAAGTCCTCCACACGTGATGATTAAGGCGCACAAGCTTTCAAACAGCACATCAGCTTTCCTTAGGCTACTCACTTCTGGAGCTCACAAGATTCATGCAAGGTATTTCTTCCTATAAAGTTACCATTTACCAAACTTGGTGGAGGGTGGCAAATGTACATTAATATCCTGCAAAAGAATAACCCCAAAAGCGCGCACAGAGGCTTAAACCACCACACTTTACATTTGCATTCGATACCACACCACTTTAAAATACAATTTAACAAATAGTCCATAACCTGTGATGAAGTTACTTTAAAATACCATTAATCATGAAATGTATAGATAATTTCTGTGTATATGGTGTATGAAAAGTGAGATATGAAATTGATAAATAGAAACAATGTTTTCTTTGGGACTAAGAGCAATACAATCTTTATAAGCCTACCTCCAGTGAGTAGTAATACCAGTAGGTCAATGGAAACCCTTACTGCATCGAACTCCTCTATCTTAGGTGTGCTCTGTGACGTCCAGGATGCAGTACGAGCAGTCAACATATCCAACAGTGTGTCTAAGATTCCAGCCTTCGCAAACTCAAGTTTCATATCATCTGTATCATGTAGAGAAGATAAAGAATCAACTCATTCACTTTTAAGGTAATAATAATAATATCAGAAATGAAATGAGGTTCAACAGATTTTTTAGCAGGTTTAGACTATGGCATGGGTTTCAAATTCAAGAAAAGAATTTTAAAATCAGTTCTGATCATACATAACTACACTAAACTTTGTAAAACAAGATAATCAAGCATTTGGAGGCTCAAAAGCTATTTGACTTTACATACTCTACACAAATTTGCTTCTTCGTACTTGTTATCATTGGATAATGAAACAATTGATTATTGAACATTTGATGGGCTTTAAATGCTGTTCTGATTAAACTAATTCCATACAAGAATGATGTAAATGGTTACATCTTCTTTTTTTCCTTACAAAGCTGTTATATTAATAACAATTACAACAATATTAATAATAACAATAATATGACTTGTTTACCCAGGGTAGCCTAATCGGAATTAATGCGGTTCTCCCTGAGGGCCCTGCAATCATATCATTACCCCGGCTTCACCTGAGCTACCACAAGGCCCTCGAGCATTCATGGTATTTCTTCCTACCAGACACCCATTTACTACACCTGGGAGGAGAGCTGCAATTGTAGATTAAAATCTTGCCAAAGGACATTACCGCAAATTACACAGATAGAATGTATTTTTTTGTAGTCACCATTTTCTATGAGCGAAGCAATGATTTCCAGTATACCCTCCAGCTGGTCATCACCAGACACCTTCTCCAGGGCGTGTACCATGCACTTCGCTGCCTCTGTACCTACAAAGGCCGGTCGCGTATCAGCTAAAGAAGAAGAAAACAATATACAAATGATTGATGCAAATGAGCTCATTATACGATAGGTGCATACAGCCTCAACAAGAGCATGTGTCAGATAAAGTATAAAACAAAACAAAATTGTTTTTAATTTAACCAACGTTCAATATTAATTTTTCTAAGAACTTTGTTTCTACTTTTAAACAGCTAGGCTACCAAAAACTTTCTCACTAGATTTCATTTCTTGCCATGTGAGTAAGTGGCACTAGTAGAAAATGATCAATAGCTGAGAAAATGAGCTAGTAGTCCCATCTGTGTGTTAAAGGTAAAGACCAGTATTGGAAACGCCCCAATTTCAAAAAATGAAATGGAAGCTCTCATTACCAATCATGTGAAAGAATATGTTTTGACTAATACATGATGATAAAAAATTTGCCGGGAAACCGCCTACTAATTCATATATTTGGTAAATTTGTTTCTCTCATGGTCTGTGAGAGATATAGGGTAGTCCCATATACATCTTTCTGTGTATAGTGCTTGTAACTTTACGAAGAATGGGCCAAATTTCTTATCATTTTGATGATTCCGGAACCTTGCAGATGCTAGATGCTAGATGATCAACCTTTTCTGATCGATTCCACAACGTTTCTTTCACAATGCAATCGCATGACCATAACTGGTCTTTACCTTTAAGGACAAATTGTCTGTTTAGAACCAAAAGGGCATTAACACTGTGATAGCTCCAAACAAAGGAATGAGGGCATTGTACCTTTTACTGAAAATGTTTTTCTTCAAATTTTATCTGTATTTTTACCATTTTGCTCATTAAGAATCATGACAGGCAAATTTTTCTTGAAATCCATTTCCTTTACAACATCAAAATAACAATTTTTTTACGAAGTTGATCATGAAGAATTTGTTAAAACAGTTCCAATACCAACCTGGTTCTGCCAGATTACCAAAGCACATGACAGCTGTACCACACAGACCTATGTCAGATTCGTTTCTCTTCAGCAGTGTAATCAAGAGATCAATGGCTCCTAGAGATACCGCAGCCTTCTGGATATCCGCTGAATAATTCATGAGAAAAAAATAATCTTACAGGATTAACCATTCCCGCCACTCATCCTCTCCAAGCGCTATAGTTCTCCTTAGAACTAGAAGCTAAGAAAGACAACCAACAGTCTTTTTCAAGACTACACCAACAGTCCTTTTCAGGACTACAAACCCTCAAGAAAGATTACAGAGAGTCCTTTTCAGGACTCCTCAATCCTCCCTCTCTCTCACATGGTGCACCCGCAAGCCTACTGTATATAATTTACCAAGTGCTGCAGTTATACAAAGAACCATCAACTTATGGACAGTAAGATAAGGCTGCGACGGGTAGTCGAATGCTCGAGTACCCGCACGGTTGACAACTACTCGGGTACGATTTCTTGTATCCGAATATTCGGCCGCAAAAATTTTTTTTTTTTAAATGTCCAGGCCCACGCTTACCCCTGCCAGGGAGAGCGGCAGCCGCTGGCATGGTACCGTCGGTAAAAATGTTTCCCAACTCGAGCACAATCAAACTCACCACTCAGAAACTGGGACCAAATGTCCAGATTTCTGTTTGGACTCGGAGGACAATGGATTATTCTGCCATCTTTGGTTTTTAAAACAGCATTGTTTACTGTTAATATTATTTTTTAAATCGGCGCCTTCAACTGCAACTCGAAGTAAAATTGCATGCGTTTTTGGCGAGGGACCTGGGAAACTGCCGAGTGGTATGGTGGTGGCAAAAAAATCAAAAAAATCAAATAAAATCAAAAAATCAAAAATATCAAAAAAATTCAAAAAAATTCAAAAAAATTCAAAAAAATTCAAAAAAAATCAAAAAATTTCAAAAAATTATAAAAAATTATAAAAAAAACATGGCGTCCGAATATTCTAGTATTCGCTTATGAGCCTGGGAGTGTACTCGGGTACCTCATTACACTGTTGTGCACAGCCTTAATGGACAGCATTACGTTTGACCTGCCAGGTATTAAAAAAGAAACGCTAAACTCACATTCCCAATGATACATTGAATATTACTGTGCTTAATTATACCAATGATTGTGCTAAGATTTATCATATATAGATGATTTGACAATGAACAAGTTACTCAGAGCTCCCACCCCCCCCCCCCTCCCCGCAATCTTCGTACCCATCAACCCCACCTTAAAAGAGAGATATAAAATTACCATACAGTACACTATTTCACTAGCAGTCCTTTGTTTTGAAATATTCCAAAAAGAAAACTATGCAACAAATTAACAGTTAACACGATCACAAAGATTTTCAATAAAACTAATTCAAGGGCAATTCAATACCTTTTTGTGCTGCCTATAGAAACTATGATTATGTAATATGTCACTGTAATGTTTCAGTAGGTAAAGAACAAGGCTTTTGAAATTGAGGTTGATATTTTTGAAGTCTCTGTGATCATATTTTTATTCTAGCAATTAGTGTTTCACTAGTGCTATAAAGAGTATTCAATACAGAATTAAATGTTATCTTTTAAACTGCTATCGCAAGCATTCACGCAACAATTGGTACTAGTATTATGAAAACATGAACAAATATACAGACGTTGTATACAGTTAAAGACTAAATTATTCAAAACCTTTAATACCAAGTTTTGTAATTTTTAAGTATGTTAACAAATGATTTGTCCTATATATCTTGATAATGTGACATATTAAAGTTTACATGTAAAAATATTCACCAAAGGCCCTAATCCAATCAGTTCATCTTTGAATTCTTGAGTTACGAAAAACACACATTAAACAAAATTTAAAAATAAAAAATAAAAAATAAAAAATTACCAGGGGTATGAAAAATTTGGTTGTTACACTGTATAAAATGCGTTTAATTCCAATCATGCTAGAGACTTACATCTATCATAGGTGACATTCATTAAGCATCCACATGCAGCATTCCATAGAGCCTGGTTGTCATCATTGTCTTCAAGGTCTGATAGTCTTTCCTCAAGGAGTTTTATCAGATTGTCAAGACCTCCTCCTTGGAACAGAGCTTCCCGAGCCTTCTCTGAATAATCAATAAAAAATCATCAAAATATCAGCAATGACAACATCAACATGCATTAAGGAGCAAATATTCCTTGGTTTGATAAAATTCACATAATTGATCACCACTATATCTCATGCATGCATACAGTAAAATCATTTCACTTTTCTTAAAGGTAATACAAAGTTTTGGTATGGGTTCATGAATTTGGTTCAAATGAACATATTGGAAGCCTATGCGATCTTACAATATTCAGTGATCGTTGTCGCGGTTGAAATCGAGTCAAAAGATATGAAATTATAAATAATAAACTCTTTATGTTGTATAGCTCCCTCTGAAGGTCAAGATATTAATTTAGCTATGAAACAATATTTCTTTGCTAAAACTAACCGATAAGCTATTCCCGTTTGGAAATTATATATCCCAACTACATATTCTGAGATCGTCATGGTCGCAGCTACCAATGTACAGCCATAGGCGCTATTTGAAATTTATCAACATTTACCGGGAGCACCTGTAAATTTTTATATTCAATTTTTCTTGAAAACAGAAGTTTTTTAGTGCTTATAATACATCCACAGGGGCATCCAAATATATCAAAATTGTAAAGATTCACTATCCACCCAATTTTCAAAATTTCCCAAAACTTTGTATTACCTTTAATAAGCACATGTTGTCGGGCATACTTACCTTGACTTCCTTATCTCTCTGTGCTCATAACTCCGCCACTATAGATTTTCTACCAAAATCATTTGGCACATGTCATTTATTCGTAATCTTGACCATTTAGTGTAATTTTTCTTGGATTCTGTGAGAATTAATTTTTATCATTACCAGAATCATTTGCAATGTTTGTGAATGTTGACTTACCACAATCACAACAAAGGTTTCCAAGCGCTCTACAAGCCTGTACCACTACATCATAGTTCTTCCTTAGCAAGCAGGAGCAGAGGGGTGGAATGATGTTACCCTCCACAAATGGCTCTCTGATCTCCTCTGTATTAAAAACAAGACAAATTCTAAATAATATCACTTTGAAACAATCCAAAATAAAAATTTGTTTACGAAGTATGGGAGTTTCTAGCCTTATTTTGACCTTCACGAAAGAGAATGTTTAATCTCACAAAGGGAAGTTGAAAAGCAACATTTTTTTTTCTTTTCAAAAGGGAAAGTCTCTCGATAATAATCCAATAAGTTAATAAATATTCTGGGAGAAGAATGTAACAAAGAAAAAAAGAGGCCAACTTGAGGCAAAATGTTGATTTATCTTGACCATCAGATTGCCACTTACCAGGCTATTTCTGCTAAAGTCTTAAAGATAAAGACCAGTATTGGAAACGCCCCAATTTCAAAAAATGCAATGGAAGCTCTCATTACCAATCATGTGAAAGAATATGTTTTGACTAATACATGATGATAAAAAATTTGCCGGGAAACCGCCTACTAATTCATATATTTGGTAAATTTGTTTCTCTCATGGTCTGTGAGAGATATAAGGTAGTCCCATATACATCTTTCTGTGTATAGTGCTTGTAAATTTACAAAGAAAGGGCCAAATTTCTTATCATTTTGATGATTCCAGAACCTTGCAGATGCTAGATGCTAGATGATCAACCTTTTCTGATCGATTCCACAACGTTTCTTTCACAATGCAATCGCATGACCATAACTGGTCTTTACCTTTAAGAGCACTGGCATTGTTATAGTTTGTTAAAAAAATGTAACAGGGAAATATAATGAAGATGCTACTATGAGAGGAAAAGCCTGGTTTACTTACAGTCAATCATTATCCTTCTGTAGGATTTAAATGCTTGTGATTTGAGAAGCACAAATATACTTAATACCATGCTTGGCTATTATTACAATTTCAGTCAATTATATCATCCTTCACCTGTAGGATTTACATGTAAATGCTTGTGATTTGAGAATCAAAGACATGTACATCATTACCATGCTTGGCCATTTCTGCTACAATCTTAGCAGCATTGGCAAGAAGATTCGGTGCTGCTGACTCCGATCTTGATAGAATATCTTGAAGACATTTGACACCACCATTCTTTACCATCTCTGTAGTAGCACCAAGAGCTGCAAGACAGAAGAAAAAGAAGATAATTTGTGATGTGTATGTTGCTTTTAATAATATCAATTAAATTCAATAAATTTCATTTTTATTGCCCAATGGAAATTTGCTTTGTTCACATTTTACAAATAACTTTACATAATAAAATAAACATAGATATCACAGCAAATATAGATATCTAGGCATAGAATATAACATGACAGATATCCAAATCCAGTTGTATTCCCCCCCCCCCCCCCCCAAAAAAAAAAAAAAAAAAAAAAATTAAATAAATAAATAAATAAATTAAAAAAATCTAAAACTTGTTGTAAAGAAATGGGTCACTTTCTGAAATCAGTACCGGTATGCATGTACATGATCTTATCATCTTTCTTGGGGTTGAAAATGTATTGTCTTTCTCCACATTTACAGAATATTTTCACAAGGTAAACGATGCTAGATCGCAGTAACTGGATGAATTTACACCATCATCATGTACATGTCTCAAAGCAGGTGGTCACAATAATGATAAGATTTTTACCTCAAGAATGATGCTACATGTACATGTAAGTACATGCATACAGTGCGATTACTAGTATCCAAGTACTCATCGCAGCCTTACAATTAACCTTTTGCCTACAACACTCACTTACACATGATTTAGACAGAACAAATACGATGTCACATGGATATATACATGTAGGAATCTGTAACGATCCCAAGTGTGCAAAATATAATCCACACAAATCAAAGGTTCATGCTACATGTACATGTAGGAATGCATGCACAGTACCATCTAGCGGCTCAAAATGTGGTACAGTACTAGCAAAGAAGTATTAAAGCTCCAAAATAAATCCAAAAGAGTTCTGGGAAAAACAATATTTGCTGCATTGAAATTTCACTACTGGCAAATCCAAAAAGAACTCATGTGACGATTGAGCAGACTGCTGACTGGTCTTGTAACATACTTGTAACATATATAAATATCTCATCCAATACCAGCACTTTTCATTAAATTGGCAATAAATATTAAAGTACCACAAAATGTCGATATTTCTGGAGAAGCTTCGATGATAAAATACTTGTAACTGGTTTAAGCTGAACTCTTTTGACGTTTATTTCACAAACCACATAAATGTCCACTTTATCCAGAGAATACATGCTGGTATTACTTGCATGCAGAAGTAACGGATGTGGTTAAAGTGCAATAAACTTTCAAGGGTCTCATGAGTAGTATAGATAAAGACACATAAAACTTGACCCTCTACTACCTGGGACTTCTGTGAGTAACGAATATAGTTTCCATTGACCCCCCCCCCCCCCAAAAAAAAAATGGGGGGGGGGATTTCATCTCACTCATAAAATGTTTGCATGGACATCAAGATGTATGTACAGTACAATGTAATTGGGAGATTTTTGCCACTAAATGCTTCATACCCATTGAGAAAGAGAAATAGAATGAAGCAAAATATAGAGGAAGGAGAGAAAGAGATAGGAGAGAAAGGGGTAAGATATAAGAAGATAGAACAGGAGAGACGGAGAAAGGAAGAACGGAGAGAGGAAGAAAGGAGAGAGGAAGAAAGGAGAGAGGAAGAAAGGAGAGAGGAAGAACGGAGAGAGGAAGAAATGAGAGAGGAAGAACTGAGAGAGGAAGAACAGAGAGAGGAAGAAAGGAGAGAGGAAGAACGGAGAGAAGAAGAACAGAGAGAGGAAGAAAGGAGAGAGGAAGAACGGAGAGAAGAAGAAAGGAGAGAGGAAGAAAGGAGAGAGGAAGAAAGGAGAGAGGAAGAACGGAGAGAGGAAAAACAGAGAGAGGAAGAAAGGAGAGAGGAAGAACGGAGAGAAGAAGAAAGAAGAGAGGAAGAAAGGAGAGAGGAAGAACAGAGAGAGGAAGAAAGGAGAGAGGAAGAACGGAGAGAAGAAGAAAGAAGAGAGGAAGAAAGGAGAGAGGAAGGAAGGAGAGAGGAAAAGAACAAAAGAGAAAGAGAGATAGAGAGAGAGAGAGAAATACGTAATTTCCTGTATTTCTACTGACCATCTTCTTGCAGTGCCTGGAGCAAACAGTCTAGACATCCATTAGTAGTAGAACTGTCAGAGTCAACTTGCAGCTTCCGCAGGGCCTCTGTAACACCATCTACAAAATAATGGAGGGGGAAAATCCTTTGCATTTGCATTTACACTGATTTAAAAAATATATATTTAAACAAATTCTAAACCAGTACTGAAAAAGACATACCAGAATAGTTCTCCATGATTATACTAATCATAATGATTTAATGTGAGCAATTTTTTTGACAATTTCAATCAAATAATATTCTGGTTGGGATATACATGTACATGTAAATAAGTTTCATGTGCAACTGCTTGTTCAGTTATAAAAAAAATACTACTAATATTAATGTATGAATGAACAAGCTTCCGTCAGATTATTGCGCCACAAGCTACTGAGCTCCTATCTTGACAGAGTGAAGTAATGGACCTAATTCATCAGGTGAACGTATATTCACTGTAAAATCCTATGGAAATCATGGACAAGATATAAAATGTATCAAACCAAATGAATGAACCCAAGCATCTGTTGATACTCATGGATAAATATTACAAAACACTGTACTTTAATTAATCTCCTTTCTCACTTCCCTTTTGATTTGCAAACTTGATGTAATCTTCATGAGCAGACATGCAACATAAACAAACAAGTTACACTATGGAGATGTAAATTTGCCTTTAACTCAATAATTGTTAATGTTAATATATTCCTTGATATTTCTGTGTAATCGAAAAGCAGCAAAATACGAAATTGGAGAAGCACAGAGTCTGGATTATGGTGATTTCTACTGTGAAAGATCTTGGGCAGGAATTACTATTGAACGCCTCTGATAGCACTGTCTGTGTGTTGAGTGCATCTCTACCAGCTAAACTACTAGAGTCCATCATTCCACATTCATCACTTACCCATGATATCAATGATCTCCTTCAAATTGAAAATTCTGAATGAAGGTCTGTATGAGGAAAGAAATGGAGACAAAATTCCAACACTTGAGTACAAATTCATCATTCATAAAAAAAAGCCTTCAAACAGTCCACCTTTCATTCTTGAGTTACAAAAACATTAAAAAAACATCATACCGGTATTGAAGGAACTTATAAATAATGTAGTTACTGTATATCATTTTGACAGTGATATTAAAGCAGTTGAATTGTTAGCTACTTTTGATAAAAATGTAAAGAAAAAAAAATACATGAAATTTCTGAGAAAAAAATTAATCAACAATCATAAGGGAATATCAAACCTTTGAATCATCATCACAACAAAAGGAGTGATTTAACATTTTAAATGAGATCACATTATACACTCTGACTTCAGCATTCCCATCACCTTTTGCACTGTTTTTTTTTTTTCCATATACATTTTCAGAAGTAAAATAGTACCGGTAAGTACATGTACTTGAAAAGAACATGCACATGCAGATGAAGCAATTATTTATAAGGCTTCCAAGTGGTACAATAAATCAGTGTATTTGATATCTTTAGTGCAGTGCCAGTACCCGGATGACTGATCAATATTGTATTCGTATAGCTCAGTCATCCCGGAACTTCAACTATCGATATCGATATCAATCCAAAGGATTTACCTCTCACAAATTGGAAGGCTAATTTCTGCGCAACCTAATTTTTATACCCTTTACAACAGTGAGCAGTGCTCACCCAAGCATGAATAATTTTCAGACTTTCGGGTGTCATATGAAAGTTGAGTTTATGAGCTTTCCATAAATATAAATCTTTTCCCCCAGAATCATTTTATTCGGCAGCCATTTCAAAAGTGTATAGTTTTTTGGGGGACGCACGGTATATGGATTAAATAAAAACTATGCATCAAACAGCCCTTACATTCATGTACCATTACAATCATTCAGTAGGCCTATAGTCAAACAAGAGTCATGAAAGAATTATTGAAACTGTGCATGTGGTCTGAATGTCTACTTGTCTAGTTCTGCTTGAAATCAACTGTCCCGATAACCAATCTGTCCGGACACCGAACATGTGGGTACACCATGTTAGCCATCAATCTTGCTATGAAACTCTCACATACGTTTGAGCATACATGCTCACTTTAATTGCTTGTAGTCTCTATGAAACACTCACTAGTACAAACTACAGATTTTGAGGCTATCTTGCAAAGAACCTTGCAGGCTTGTACTTGTTGTCTGAGTGTTTCATAATTACCTTAATGACTTCCATGTTGCCTTTAAGGCTTTACAATCATCCATGTTTGCATCATTTATAATCAGTAGGGGCGGTGCCGCGCTGGTCCGAGAATGAGGATCGTCTGCGTAAACCAGGTTATCCTCATAGACGCGGACATGTGAAAATAAGGATCGTCCGGATCAGAATTTATCAGAATCGTCAGCGAAAATGACGACGATCGATCCTTATTTTAATTTTGAGGACGTGTCTGTCCACCTTTACTAGGGTGTCTGAACGATTTTTCAATTTTCAATTTGGGATCGTTTTTCACTATTTTTGTTTGATATTTGAATAAAAAATGTAATCAGAATAATACATTTCAAATTTCAAGTCTCACCGATGTTTCTATCAAAAGATACAGCCCTCCAAAACGCTGGTATATTCATATCATTTTGGTCAAAATCGACGAAAAAGACGTCCACGCAGAGTGATGTTGTTTTGCTAAATTCAGACAAACAGCTGTATCGCGCGATATGCAAGCATATGCATATAGTACGCATGTTGCTAAGCCAATGCGCGACTTGCAGCTTGAGCCACGCTGTCTCCGCGATATGTGCCATTGACTAGTATGGGTGGCCGTTCGCGCCATAGAACCCGGAAGTGAATACACGTTGTAGTCAAGGCAATATCGCGGAGACAACGTGCACGGAGATGTTACGCGATGTAACCATGGTTTGGACTGAGCGGAGCGCACGCCCCCTAATTAGCTGATCCACCAAATAGCGGGAAGGGTAATTTTAAACTGTTATCAGTTGTGATCCCTGGGGGCTAGCGAAAATATAAACACATAGAATTGTTCCTTAGGACTGGGACTACTTATTGATCGGGGCGTCATATCTCAAAAGTGACAAACCTCAGAGTTAGCCAGGACACAATGTTTAAATTGCTGTTTTGACCAAGATATTTTTAGAATTTCGGGGGCTATGCCCCTTTGGAAATATTGGAATTCACCTGCTCTTTCATATGACACCTCATTTATTGAGTATCACCTTCAGGATCACAACAGATAAAGGTTTGAATCTTGAATTGAAAAAAAAAACTTGACTTTTTTTGCATGGTTGCGCAATGCACGTAGACTGCATAGGGATGCGTGTAATCTCTATGGGAAGAATTTTAGCACACAACGTCGGGTGCGCGATCAGACACCCTACCTTTACGGAGACGATTCTCATTCTCGGACCAGCGCCCCTGGCATGGCCCTACTTTAGTTTCATCATTGCCTAACTCCAGGAAGCTCCAACACCGGTGTTGGAGCTTCCTGGAGTTAATCATTGCCTAGAATAGAGTCCATTGCCGTATTATTGGTCTATATTCTAGTAGTAGGGTGTCTGATCGCAACTGATAACAGTTTAAAATTACCCTTCCCGCTATTTGGTGGATCAGCTAATTAGGGGGCGTGCGCTCCGCTCAGTCCAAACCATGGTTACATCGCGTAACATCTTCGCGCACGAACGAAACCCCAAATTCAATTACACATTATAGTGAATGAAATTATGGTTGGCAATTCGCACGATAAACCCAGAAGTGAATACACGTTATAGTCAATGGCAATATCGCGGAGACAACTGTCTCCGCGATATTGCCATTGACTACAACGTGTATTCACTTCCGGGTTCTACGGCGGGAATTGCCAACCATACTAGTCAATGGCACATATCGCGGAGACAGCGTGGCTCAAGCTGCAAGTCGCGCATTGGCTTAGCAACATGCGTACTATATGCATACGCTTGCATATCGCGCGATACAGCTGTTTGTCTGAATTTAGCAAAACAACATCACTCTGCGTGGACGTCTTTTTCGTCGATTTTGACCAAAATGATATGAATATACCAGCGTTTTGGAGGGGCTGTAACTTTTGATAGAAACATCGGTGAGACTTGAAATTTGAAATGTATTATTCTGATAACATTTTTTATTTAAATATCAAACAAAAATGGTGAAAAACGATCCCAAATTGAAAATTGAAAAATCGTTCAGACACCCTACTAGTAGATTCTAGTACTAGATCTCACTGATCTAGACTAGAAATTCTTGGTCTAGACTTTTCTAGACAAGTTTACTGGCACTGGCATGATCATGACTGGCTGCAGTCTTTCGAAAGCCAAGCCAATCCCACTTAGCACAACTAAATGAATGCCATGCCGGCCCATCCCATCACATTGAATGAATGTTCATGATCAAACCGTCCTACACTGGATTCTGCATGTTCAGGATGCAGGCCTAGCCTGCGCCTGTAGCTGTGGCTGTGCTGTGCACTGAACTGAAAAGGTTGTATGAAAAATGAAGGCAGCAACAGCCCGTCCAAAGTCAAATTAAAAGACCGGAGCAACAACAGACAACTTTGTAACATATTCGTGACACCACAATTTAACAACTAACTTACTTACATTATTATCTGCTTGCAGATGAGATTCGCTATTTCTATAATTCCTGCTTATTCAGATACTGATGGTAGATTTTTAACTCCAGTCTGACTCTGATCATTGCAATGCACACAGTACTTCGGTAAAGGATACTCTCTTGAAAGATGACTTACACGCGTTCATTACTGTAGGCTGTGCAGACATTTTTTAGTGCTGTTATTCCCTTGCAGAGGATTTCAGTGATGGCTAGTCTTACATTACGATACAGACCTTGGCATCAACATGGCCATGGCATGATTTGACTGTTTAAAAATGAAGTTACATGCTTTACTTTAAACATTTAATTTCTACTTTTAATCACAATTAAAACAAAGTGCACCTAAAGTCCTAAATACTGCACACTAATGGATGAATTGCAACAAAATGCAGTCACAGATCATACTGTTCTCCGCTTGAGTGAGTCATCTTGCTAATCTTTGCTCTTTAGCTAAAAGAGGCTCGCAATCAAAACAGTGAAAAAAATACACGGGGGCTCGGGGCGAAATAGCCCCCGAAATGCCCCCAAAGCCCCCGAAAATCAGAAAAGAGCCCCCATAAATTTACATAGAGTTCAATGCAAATTAAATTTTAGAATGTTATTTTCAGGCAGGCAAGCTTGAAAAGTAGCCCCCGAAAAATAAATTTTACATTTTCCCTGCATCAAAATCCGACTCTAGGAATATAGGGATCCAATATAGTCCCTTCCTACAAGTACAACTCCAAAGTGATGGGAATTAAGTATTTTTTTTTAAAGTGATACGACGTCTCTCTCTTAAACGATAAAGTTCTTTTTGGACAACAATATATCCCAATATTGTGGATCAGAACCAAGAACAGAACAGATTCAGATGTGATCAATGTCATTGGCATCAATCATTTGATGATTTTGGTTGCCTCTCCTGATTCTCCTCTATACATGTCGCTCTCATCAAGTTTTCTTCTTCTTCATGTTGTGCATATCTATAAGTTCAAAGAAATACCATCGTTTCCTTTTCCACCCCATCCCTCTATCTCTTACTCAACTCTGATTAATTACAACGAAAAGGGGGAAGTTTATGATATGTAAATGAAATGGATTCTAAAATACATTACGACAGTATGAGGGCAAGTATTCCTCACTGACAAGGAGGCAATTATTTCTCCCCCCCCCCCCCGGCTCCCAGTGGCGGATCCAGGAGGGGGGAGGGCCCCGCCGCCCCCCCCCCCTTGTAACAAAAAAAAGGGGGGGAGGGAAAGATTTGTTGTTGTTGTTATAGTGAGAAGACATGAGCCCCTGAACGCTGGTGTACTGATGGGGGGGGGGGGGGGGGGTGGGTGGGTGTTATTTCTTATTCGATACCAGTGATTTACAAATTTTGCTGGAATGACATGATTTTTTCTCAATTTTTTTGGAAGTCATGCGTTTTTATGCGTTTGTTGGAAAATTAGAAATTCCAAAATATTTACCGTCGGGCAAAAATATGCCAACTTAGAAGCCTTTATGTCATGGTCTGCAAAACGGCTGAGCTCGGAGGCTCGAGCCCCTAACTTTTTGAAAAAGTATGTTACAGAGTGAGAAAGAAAGAGAGAGAGAAAAATAAGTGACCTGCCAATGTAATAAAGGTATCAAAATATGCTCATCTGACCGTAATTAAATGCCTAAAACCCCGAGCTTCCGGGGGCTCTGCCCCCTGGACCCTACCAAAGGCCCTAATGCTGGCCCCTGGATGCTCATCTTACCGTAATCAAATGCCTAAAACCCCCGAGCTTCCGGGGGCTCTGCCCCGTGGACCCTACCAAGTGCCCTAATGCTGGCCCCTGAATGCTCATCTGACCGTAATTAAATGCCTAAAACCCCCAAGCTTCCGGTGGCTCTGTCCCCCTGGAAAACAACTAAGGGCCCTATGGTGGCCCCTGAATGCTCATCTGACCGTAATTAAATACCTAAAACCCCTGAGCTTGCAGGCCTCTGTCCCCTGGACCCCCCCCCCCCCCCCCAAGGGCCCTAAGGCGGCCCCTGGATGCTCATCCGACCGTAATTAAATACCTAAAACCCCTGAGCTTCCGGGGGCTCTGCTCCCTGGACTCTCCGCCAATTAGTGACCTGTCAGTGTGATAAATAAGGTATCTAAATATGCTTATCTTTACCGTAATTTAATGCCAAAAACCCTGAGTTTCCGGGGCTCAGCCCCTTGACCCCCTGCCGAGGCTCAGGCCAATTTCCGCTCTACCTGATCGTTAATACTACACTTTGAAAAACGTTCCACGGGGCCTGCATGTAACGTGTAAGAGTGGTGATGATGAGGATTTTTCTTCTGCCCCCCCCCCTTCCAAACATTTTTGCTCATTACGTCACTGCCCCTGGAAGGTGAGCCCCCTAGAATGTTTGCTCCCCCCCCCCCCCCCCATCCCAAACTGCTTTCGGCGCGCCTGCCTGCCAGTGTCACAAATAGGTGTAAAATATGCTCATATGACCGTTATTTATTGCCCCAAACCCTCAGCTTCCGGAGGCTCCGCCCCTGGCCCCCACGCCAATTCGTGACCTGCCAGTGTCACAAATAAGTGTAAAAATATGCTCATCTGACGACAATTCAATGTATAAAACCCCTGAGCTTCTGGGGGCTTCGCCCCCTGGACCCAACACCAATTTTTGTCCTGCCAGTGTCACAAATAGGGTATCAAAATATGCTCATTTAAGGTATAAAACTCCCGAGCTTCTGGGGGCTCCGTCCCCTGGACCCCACACCAATTTCTGAACTGCCAGTGTCACAAATAAGGTATAAAAATATGCTCATCTGACAGTAATGTATTGCCAAAAACCCCTGAGCTTCCGGGGGCTCCGTCCCCTGGCCCCCATGCCAATTCGTGACCTGACAGTGTCACAAATAAGTGTAAAAATATGCTCATCTGACGCAACTTAAGGTATAAAACTCCTGAGCTTCTAGGGGCTCCGCCCCCTGGACCCAACATCAATTTGTGTCCTGCCAGTGTCACAAATAGGGTATCAAAATATGCTCATCTGGCAATAATGTATTGCCCAAAACCCCTGAGCTTCCGGGGGCTCCACCCCCTGGCCCCCACGCTAATTCGTGACCTGACAGTGTCACAAATAGGATATCAAAATATGCTCATCTGTCCGTAATGTTGTGCCCAAAATCCCTGAGCTTCCGGGGGCTTCGCCCCCTTGACCAAACACCAATTTGTGTCCTGCCAGTGTCACAAATAAGGTATCAAGATATATGCTCATCTGACCGTAATCTATTGCCCAAAACCCCTGAGCTTCTGGTAGTTCCGCCCCCTGGACCCCACGCAAATTCGTGACCTGTCAGTATCACAAATAGGGTATCAAAATATGCTCATCTGACGGTAATTTAAGGTATAAAACCCCTGAGCTTCTTGGGGCTCCGCCCCCTGGACCCAACATCAATTTGTGTCCTGCCAGTGTCACAAATAGGGTATCAAAATATGCTCATCTGGCAGTAATGTATTGCCCAAAACCCCTGAGCTTCCGGGGGCTCCGCCCCCTTGACCAAATACCAATTTCTTGTCCTGCCAGTGTCACAAATAAGGTATCAAGATTTATGCTCATCTGACGATAATTTAATGTTTAAACCACTGAGCTTCTGGGGGCTCCGGCCCCTGGACCCAATATCAATTTGTGTCCTGCCAGTGTCACAATATAGGGTATCAAAATATGCTCATCTGGCAGTAATGTATTGCCCAAAACCCCTGAGCTTCCGGGGGCTTCGCCCCCTGGATCCCACGTCAATTTTTGTCCTGCCAGTGTCACCAATAAGGTATAAAAATATGCTCATCTGGCAGTAATGTATTGCCCAAAACCCCTGAGCTTCCGGGGGCTCCACCCCCTGGCCCCCACGCTAATTCGTGACCTGACAGTGTCACAAATAGGATATCAAAATATGCTCATCATTCTGTCCGTAATGTTGTGCCCAAAATCCCTGAGCTTCCGGGGGCTTCGCCCCCTTGACCAAACACCAATTTGTGTCCTGCCAGTGTCACAAATAAGGTATCAAGATATATGCTCATCTGACCGTAATCTATTGCCCAAAACCCCTGAGCTTCTGGTAGTTCCGCCCCCTGGACCCCACGCAAATTCGTGACCTGTCAGTATCACAAATAGGGTATCAAAATATGCTCATCTGACGGTAATTTAAGGTATAAAACCCCTGAGCTTCTTGGGGCTCCGCCCCCTGGACCCAACATCGATTTGTGTCCTGCCAGTGTCACAAATAGGGTATCAAAATATGCTCACCTGGCAGTAATGTATTGCCCAAAACCCCTGAGCTTCCGGGGGCTTCGCCCCCTGGATCCCACGTCAATTTGTGTCATGCCAGTGTGACAAATAAGGTATAATAAGCTCATCTGACCAAAATTTATTGCCCAAAACCCCTGAGCTTCCGGGGGCTCCGCCCCCTTGACCAAATACCAATTTTTTGTCCTGCCAGTGTCACAAATAAGGTATCAAGATATATGCTCATCTGACGATAATTTAATGTTTAAACCACTGAGCTTCTGGGGGCTTCGCCCCCTGGATCCCACGTCAATTTTTGTCCTGCCAGTGTCACCAATAAGGTATAAAAATATGCTCATCTGACAGTAATGTATTGCCCAAAACCCCTGGGCTTCCGGGGGCTTCACCCCCTGGCCCCCACGCTAATTCGTGACCTGTCAGTATCACAAATAGGGTATCAAAATATGCTCATCTGACGGTAATTTAAGGTATAAAACCCCTGAGCTTCCGGAGGCTCCACCCCCTGGCCCCCACGCTAATTCGTAACCTGACAGTGTCACAAATAGGGTATCAAAATATGCTCATCTGTCCGTAATGTACGTTGTGCCCAATATCCCTGAGCTTCCGGGGGCTCCGCCCCCTTGACCAAACACCAATTTGTGTCCTGCCAGTGTCACAAATAAGGTATCAAGATATATGCTCATCTGACCGTAATCTATTGCCCAAAACCCCTGAGCTTCTGGTAGCTCCGCCCCCCTGGACCCCACGCAAATTCGTGACCTGCCAGTGTCACAGATAAGGTATAAAAATATGCCCATCGGACGATAATTTAATGTATAAAACCCCTGAGCTTCCGGGGGCTCCGCCCCTGGCCCCCACGCC